ATGAAGAGTTCTTAATACAAAACAATGTGAGTACACCTAATCTTTTGACAACAAAGACTGCAAAGAAGTATTTCAATATTTCTCTTAAATAACTAAAAACTGCCGATTACAATGTATCAGAATCTAAAGATTGTAGTGAGAAATCTCGATACATATATATATATATATCCATGAAAATAATGTTGTTTCTCTTAAAATGACTTCATAAGCACAAACATGTAATTTGTTTTAAAAAGTTACAAAATATTATGATTATATATATTAATAAAATGTGGACTCACTGTTCATTATTTTCTTCCTTTTTCTATGATAAGCATGCTAAGTAGACCATACATTAATAGTGTTGCTTTTTTTATGGGGATGAGAATGGAGCTCTTTAGAAAACAGCAATAAATATGCGACCCTAATTAATATTTATAAAGATATATATATATATATATAATGTGTGGGGATGAATAAGGCAATAGTGTCAGGGGTTTAGTCAAAAAATTTGCTGCAAAGTCCATAAGAGTTGGCCATAGCCTTAGAAAAAAAAATCAATCAATCTCTTTCCACATTTCCTTTATATTTTCAATTTTATCTCACATCTTCTTCCATCATCAATATGAAACCCACCATAATCATGTAATATGTGATGTAGGATCTATTTATACAATATATTGACAATTATTGCAGTTCATGTTTTCTTAACGTCTCAGCTTGTATTTCATTTTTGTTTGTCATATTTTTAAGATATGCATTTACAGTAAAACTTTTATAAATTAATATTTGATAAATTAGTAATCACTATAAATTAATAATTTTTACCGGTTTTAAGTTGGGCCAGTGTAAAAATTAACAAAATTCGATTAGATAATAAAATAATACTTTTTTGAAAGTTCTATGTTAAAATATAGTCCCAATAATAATATAAATTAATAATTATATATTTAGACAGATATTAATAATATAATATAGTAAACTATAATAATGTTGTTGTTTAGTTTATAAAATTTGTTTAATTTATCTTCTAAAATTTATTATTATGAAATTTTTTGAATGAATTTTATATTGTTGAAAATATTGATTTTTTTGATGAATATTAAAAATTCAAACTAAAAATATTTCTATAAATTAATAAAATTTGAGAGTCCCAACATTATTAATTTATAAAGGTTTACTGTATATACTAATTTGGTATTGGAGTTAAATATAGATAGTTGTTATAACTTCGTACGTATTTTGGTGGTGAACATGTGGTAGAAGTTTATTAGTTATATATATTGTCAAAAAACAAAATGATACTAACCGAGAGAGAGATAAATCCCCCAAGTACATGACGTGAGAATGTAATAAAAGAAAAGAAGCCTATTTATGTGTAGGTGGTGTTTGGTAAAGTTGCATTAGTATATAGGTTTAGGAAATAGGAAGCTACAAATAATTTGTCCAGTGGGAATATTATTATGAAGAAGTGATGATGTGAGATAAATGTTCACTCTCTTTCAAAGTAGAGCCCAGAAGCCACAATATGACAAATTTTTGTGGCATTAAGAATTGAGAACGACCCATGTTATGGAAGGAATCCTTTTTCCTCTCCATCTTTTTATTTAATTTTACTCATGGTGAAAATATGATCTAGATGTTGAATAATAATAAACATATTATTTAAAATAGCAATTAATTGGTTTTATTAGTTGGTTTTTTTTAAAAAAAAAATTGTGTGTGCATTCGAGTAAGTCAGATTATATTATAAATACAAGATCGCCAAGGCAACATACTAGACCTAATTAATCTATTATTAGCTTACATTATGTAATTATGTATCGCACTCAACTGATGACGAACACATAGTAAACGAGAGAAAGATATACTGTATAGCCAAACTAACATCCGAATTTTAATAATGTGAAAGCTTATTTTTTTATATAGAAGTTTAGGTATTAAAAAAATATTTCAAAAGGGAGAACGAATAATATAAAGACTAAAACTTTGTTGGCAGATAGAAAAGAAAGAAAAACGTAAACTTTAGTGTTGTAATAAAATGTGATAAAAATGAGAGGAGAAAGGAGTGAACTTTTGCATTGGGTTCCTTTATTTTATCATAGAGTCGGCCTTTTTGTGGCTGCTTGTGGGCCTTCCTCATTTCACCGACCTTTTTTACTTACATTGTATCTATGTTTTTTTTTCTTTTTGTTTAACATTTACTTGCACACACATTTTTCATTTATTTTTAACATTTAAATCGTATATTAAAAAATGCTATATGCAAACTTTTATTTATGTGACACAGTATAAAATATTAATAATTTTTTCTTGACATATATCAAAATTTTGATGAATAAATATGAAATCTGCAATATTTGGAAAGACGATACTAAAAAAAATAAAAAAAATATTGTCTTTGTTTTTTTAGAAAAATGTCATTTTGATATTTTTTTGTTTTGTTTCATAAAGAATATTATTTATATAATTAATAAAAAATCAAAATTAAATATTAATTTTTTATTATTATTTTAACTTATTAACTAGAAAAAAATTATTTTAATATATTAACGAATAACACAATAAACATTTACAATTTTTTTTATTTATATGAAAATTGTCAAAATAACACTATTTTTGAAACAGATTAAATATATACAATCAAGTAATTTTGTGGCTCCCTCCTCCCTTCTTCCCAATTTAGCTCAGTCGTTATGAGCAGTTGTTTTAAACATATAGTCTTCATTTTAATTTCAAGATGTGAATAGGTAGTGTGACAATTTATACTATGTCGTCCAATCACAAAAACACGAGCATTGACTTACAGCTACTACTGCTAGGGTTTCATCTCGAAACTGTGAACCGAGTCCACCGTTTTGGCGGGAGGGTTTTTGGATTGTGATCAAGAAATAGACGTTAATGTTTGGTTTCAACTTCCAACTAGTTGAAGTGAAAATTACGGAAATGCGAAAGAAATAGAATAATACACCAAATAAACGCACATATATATATATATAATATAAAACCAAAGAAAATAAGAAAAATTAACATGAAAGAAGAAGAAATTTATCTCTTATCATATTCACTAGCAAAAAAGAAGAAGTGATTTTGTCAGAGAGTGCTTCGCTGTTTAAATTCCGTTATGACGAAAATTTTAAGATTTCCAAACATCACGCGCTTACACTCCTCACGTGCACCCCAGCCTTCTGGTCAAAGTTTGAACTACTCACTCCCAACTGATTATTTTAGTTTTAACAAGAGAAAACGTAAATTAAAAGATTAGCTTATCCCATGTGATTGGTGATTAGTCCCTTACTAATACAAATCCAAAATAAATAAAAAAATACTTTAAATTCATTATCTCGAACTGTTTAGAGTTATAACAACTTGTTCGAACTTCGACTGATAGATATATAAGTCCAAACCAAATAATAGGAAGTACTTACCAAAAAAGGTTCAAGTTCGTTTTCAATTTAATTGAAGCAGCTTGTTTGCATGATCTTTTTAACTTACAGCGATATTTTTTCAAAATAGAGAGTAGAAAAACGAATTTCTCTAAAAATTTGAAACCAAAAAGCAATATGGTTGCTAGTTGAGTCACGTAAATTGTCGTATACTCTTTTAACAAAACAACAACAACAACATTGTCAATCTTCTTGCAATAATTGTTCAATATTATCTCAATAAATTTTAGGATTTTCAGTTTGAAGTGATTTTAACTTTTTTTTTCTAGTTTTTTTTTTGCTTGGCAACTTCTTTTCACTTAAAAAAGAAAATAGAGACAAAACCCAAACCAAATAAGAAAAAAGAATTGTGAGACCATTTCACATTTCAATAAAACCACAATTGTATCAAATCGAGTCAAACTCGTTAACATTTCAAACTAAATACTTTCATACGAAAACATTATAAAACACAATCAAAGGAAATCGGAATGAAAAATGAAAAAGTCATATTTATATATATATATATATATATATTCATTTATCGTTTAAAGATCACGAATCGAACCATGTGCACTTACACCAAAATTTGAACTATAATTATGTAACTAAAAAAATAATTTTGATCAATTAGAGAACCCTATAAAAGTAATCATATTCCCCACAAAACTCTAGACGATGCCCGTAATAAAATAAAATCACCACGTTCGTTTGTGTGTAACTTACGGCAAGTTTTTTTTGTGTGGAATGTATTACGCTTTTTGTATTCTCAATAATAAATAATTTTTACATTGCGAAAGCCGGGGAAAAAATTATACTGTGGAAAAAAGTTAATTTGTATCAACAAAATACATTAAGACCTTATAATAATAATAATAAAAAAATTAAAAGAGAAAGAAATAGAAGCACATTAATGGGGAGACACATGGATTTCAGCGTTATTTTTCAAACTTGCCTTCATACCCGCGCACTAACCTATCCATACGTTGCCTTTTTTTTTTTTTTTTTCTTTTTTTCCATTTATTTTTCTTAAATTCCCAAAATTGCTGAAAATAAAATAAAATATAGAGAGAGAAAGATAGAGAGAGAGAGAGTTCAAAAAGGGAGTCATGTGAAGGAGAGAGAGAGAGAGAGAGTAATGAGATCTTATTGTAGTTGCAAATGGGAATGAGAGTTTGTAAACGAAACTAATGTTCATGAATCGTGAATGATACATAAATAAAGGGGAAGTTTTTAAAAATCCCTCATTTCAATTTTGGGGAAAAAATCTCAACTTTCTATAAAATCCCTTTTCCTTTTTCCGTTTCGTCGAAATTCCACCTTTGTGAAATTAATCAAATTTTACGAATCCAGACGAATTTTTGTGAGGTTTATAAAGCACGAGTGTGGTGTGAGTGATGAAATTGAGTTCCTTTTCAGAGTGATTTTTTTTTGGGTTATTTTTGTTTGTTTTTCCTGGAAAAAGTTTAGGGTTTTTTTTTCCGGATAAGAAAAAATAAAAAAAGAGTTGGAGGGGTCTATGTGGGATAGAGATAGTTTTGGGTTTTAATAAAGGAGAAGGAGCGTCGAAGAAAACAATAGACAAAGAATTAACAGAGGAGAGCGTCAGAGAGAGAAAAAAAAAATTTAATGGAAGAGACAACGAAGAAGAAGAAGAAGATCGTTACTAACGAAGATTCCAAAAAGAAGGAGCGTCATATTGTTACCTGGTCACAAGAGGTCTCTATATATATATTTTTTTTTCTACACAAATAATTTTGATCAATCTCTGTTTCATTGCTCTGTATAACCCAACACAGTTTCTGAGATGGGTTTTGTTGTGAGTTTTGTAGGAAGATGATATACTTAGAAAGCAAATCAGTTTACATGGAACTGATAAGTAAGTCTCTGTCTTTTTTTCCTTCTCAATTTCTGGGAAAGTTTTGTGTTTTTTTTATTGGGTCGATCGATTCTGATGAAAAGAGGGATTTGTTATTGTGTTGATTGATTTCAGTTGGGCGATCATTGCATCCAACTTCACTGATAAGAGCACAAGGCAGTGTAGAAGAAGGTTTGGTCTATTCAAAATCAAAATGATCCTTCTTTTTTTCTGGAGTTTCTGGGTTTTGCTTAATCCGATCATGGATTTTGATTTTGCAGATGGTATACATACTTAAACTCTGATTTCAAGAGAGGAGGCTGGTCTCCTGAAGAAGATACACTTCTGTGTGAGGTTAGAAGACATCTTTTTTATATCACATAGATGAAGTTACCATAGAGTCTGTGTCTGATCTTTGTATGTGTTTGGTTTGTATAGGCACAGAGATTGTTTGGTAACAGATGGACTGAGATAGCAAAAGTGGTCTCAGGCAGGTATATATATCAGAACAAAAAAGGTTTTATGGTGAATGAAATTATGGAAATGAAAGTAGATGGTGAAATGTTCTTTCTTTTTTTTTGTGTAGAACCGATAATGCAGTGAAGAACAGGTTCACAACACTGTGCAAGAAGAGAGCTAAGTATGAAGCAATGGCCAAAGAGAACAGGATTGCTTGTTGTGTGAACTCAAACAACAAAAGGATGTTGCTCCCAGATGGTATTAGTACACCACGGAAAGTCGAAAGTGAATCCCCTCTTGCTAAGAAAACGAGGTGAGAATCTTGTTTTGGGTTTCTCTTTGGTGCTCCATTGATCCAAAGAAGAAAGCTTTCAAACGTTTATTGACAATACGTTGTCCATGCTCGTTATTTTTAGGAGAAGTCACATTCCAGATCTTAAAGAGATCAGTAGCTATGGGGATAGATCACATATAAAGGTTCATTCGGGTGTGAACCAACAGGTGAGACCTCCATTAACGGCTGTAGCCCACAATGCCACAAGTATCAATAGCACGGAGCAGCAGAAACGAACAGACAGTGCGAAAGAGAGTGATGGTAATAAACTCTGCGCAGATTTCTTTTTGTTGTTGCTTAGCCTGTAAAGCATTAGTAAAGAGGCAACATTGTGCTAAGCTGTGTTTTTCGGCACTTAGGTGAGCATAAAGGTGAGCACGAGGTGTTTCTTAAGAAGGATGATCCAAAGGTAACAGCTTTGATGCAACAAGCCGAGCTTCTCAGTTCTTTGGCCCAGAAAGTTAATGCAGACAACACAGAACAAAGCATGGAGAATGCCTGGAAGGTAACACTTTCAAGAGGCTGTAACACACCCTTGCACGATCCTTTATGAACATATAAGTGTTGATGCTGTTGTTCTTCGTAATATGTGCAGGTCCTGCAGGATTTCTTGAATAAAAGCAAAGAGAATGATATATTCAGATATGGAATTCCAGAGATGGATTTCCAACTCGAGGAATTTAAGGATCTTATTGAAGAATTGAGGAGTAGTAACGAAGATAGTCAAGCATCTTGGAGGTTCTTATAATTAACATTTCTATATTTATAAAATGGTTTGTGGTTTTACACACCTAAATGGTTTCTGAGTATGTAATGTCCACTTATATAGGCAACCTGATCTCCATGATTCACCAGCAAGCTCTGAATATAGCTCAGGATCAACTGTAATGCCGCATTCATCCGGGGATCAAACCCAACAACCCGTGTCTGATACTCAGACAATAATATCTCAGAAGCAAATTAGCACGGAGTTACTACAAGATAAAGGGATTGTGTCTGATGCAGCAGTGGAACAAGTGGATTTACTCTCGACCTCCCATGATTTTCTAAAGAACCCTGATGAGATTGTGCCTATGACTGATGACGAAGAGTTTAAGTCGCCTGTTCAAGTCACACCATTGTTCAGATCTCTAGCAGCAGGCATCCCAAGCCCACAGTTCTCTGAAAGTGTAAGCTTGCACCTAACTTACTGAATTGTGGAATGTTTTCAGGTATGGTTCTATAAATAAAAAAAACTGATTGATCTGTCTTTGCAGGAGAGGAACTTTCTGCTAAAGACACTCGGTGTTGAGTCCCCATCTCCATATCCAAGTGCTAATCCTTCACAACCACCTCCTTGCAAAAGAGTCCTTCTCGATAGCTTGTAAACCAACCCAAACCAAAGCTCTAAACCAAAAAACCGTCTTTAAAACCGCGGTTATGTCTCCATGGAGCCGACATAACTTGCATTTTCTTCCCTCTTTTTTGCTTAGATTTTTCTCCATAGGTTTGCAGCCATATCGGCCTGAAATTTTTTAGTGAAGCGGGCGTGCCATGTTCTGCATTTTTTTCCACCTCAGTCTAGAATCTAGAATGTTAAAGGTAACGTTTCTAGATCTAGACCAATCTCATAAAACTGAGTCTCTCTCTCAGATACTCAGGCTTACAATCTTTGCCTCACTCTCTAGGAGAGTTTCTTTTCATCAGTATCATACTTAAAGCCATTCCATAAAAGGGCTAAAAGTATGTGTTTTTGGGTTTATCTTCTTCCCATTCATGATTTGTGTGTCTAAGAGAAGAAAAATTCTTTTGTTTGTGTCCCTCTTCTAAGGTCAAACCCGGATACATAATCCGGGCTTTTCCCTCCCCATGAATTCTTGATTTGTTGTTTTCTTGATTCTCTTTGTACAGAACCTATATATTACATAAAAAAAGTAGAGTTTTTGTTTCAGAGTGTAAAGTAAGGAAAAAAGATAAAACAACTTCAGAGAGGCATGTCGCCTTTCTTTATACAGCAATGATTAGAAAAAAAACAGACAGAAGAAGAAGAAGAAGAAGAGAAAAACCAATATTTTCATATGGTTTTGGAGCAAAAAAAAAAAAAAAAAAAGAGATGTGATTTTTTTCTTTCTGTAGTAACTTCTCACAGGGGTGAGAAGAGGATTAAAAAAAAGGATTTATTTTGTTTCCCTCTTCATGTGATTGTAAAGAGATTATATGAGTGGAAATGATTTGATTTTGGTGTGAATTATATATTACATAGTATGTTACAGCCGGAAACGTACCTATGATTTTCTGGATCATCTTCTCCTTCTTCCATGACCATAGTTGCAGAAGAAGAGAGAATTCAAAATAATTGAAGAGGTTGTGCAGTTCGATCTGGATCTGCGTCTCTATAAAATGGGAGCTGTTTAAGTGTTGGTTAGTGGAAGACAAAACGTAATCATCACTTTCTTCTACCTTTTGTTTTTTTAATTTGAAATTTTCAACCTCTCTTCCCTCTTCTAATCCGGTTTAATGTTTAAAATCAGTGTTTTCGAAACTGAAGCATACCGGTCGATCCAACCAAGAATCGCCTTTTTTCAGTCTGGTTAACGGTCGGTCCAAATTCTTTCTTGACCTTTAAAACTGGATGAAAACCGCTAAAACATGATCATGGTTGAATAATATCGGATTACAAAATATAAATCTGTATTTGAATGAGAGTATTCATCTAAATTCACACCATACGTTAATCACTTGTTTCGGTTTGTCTGCTAATAACTAGTTTTACAGTTGACTAATCTGGTTTCAGACTCCCTCTGTATATAAGTATATTTCGTTTGACTAAACATAAACTAATCAAAAATCTAAATATATAATTTAGAGTAGAGATGTGATGAGAAAAGAAAAACAGAGCCATTCTCAGTTTTTCTTCAACTCTTTTGCTTCTTCTTCTCCACCTTTTTCGTCTTCCTCCATTTAAGGAAAATCTGATACGACAAACCACCAAACACCATTGAAACACAACCCCATTGCTTCAACGACAATGGATTCCCGCTCATTACTGATGACACAACGATGCTAACAAACTTCCTGGTAGTGGTTATGGTCGTGTTAGCTAGTGACCCGAAGTTACTAATCGTCATAAAGATGAAGTTTTGTCCCACGGCACCGCATAGACAGTATTTTAGAATGTCCCAAGCCGCTTCCGGGTGCTGCTTACAGAACTCATACGCTTCGAATCCGATCCCTTGTGGTAATGCAAACATGTAGATCACGTTGTATATTGTACCCCATAAGTTCATTCCCAGCATTATGTCCCACGCTTCTGTTTTTGGGTACCTGTGAAAATTGGTGATATGATTATAGATTGGAAGATTGTAAGTTTATGTTTCGAAGCAAATGTCAGATATTTACCTTGAGGCAATGGAGTCTTGTGTGGCGTTTGTGAATCCGTCAAAGGCGAGGTTTAAGAAGCAAAGTGCGTAGCCAAGGGGAGCATTTGGATGTGCCAGCTTGCTAATTGTCTTAGAGCTTGTCTGGAAAAATTCCCAAATCAAAAAAGCTTAATAATATGCTATGTTCAAAGTTTTTTGGATGAGCAGATTTGCAAATACCTTAAGAAGAGCAAAGATGGCTACTCCTCCGGCGACAAGAAAAGTGCAAATGTACTCAGGGAAAGTGTATCTTATTCCGTAAACTAGCGTTCCCATCAACATGACTGCATCACGAAAGAAAACTCAAAATAAGATATCTTGAGAAGATAAATGCAAGAAAGAGAATTTCATGTTCATGGATTGAAAATTTGAACTTTACCTGGAATCATTTTTGAAGATTTTGCCAGGACCTGCAGTAAGCAAGATCAGAATTCAAACCCATCGATTACAAAATAAATAGATAAAAACCATAGTCTGGGTATTAACGATCACATAAAAAGTTACCTGAGCCGGATAACTAATATACTTCAAGGCTTCAATTCCCATGGCAGGACCAATCGTATTAGTAATGCCGGCACTCCAATACGTCCACCATGGTGCTCCACCGTTACTGGCCTTTGACCACAGCTTAATCACTGCACATAACCAGATTGCAGACAAACATAATTTCAGCTCTATTCGCCTGTATTCCGATGATACGAATATAGAGATGGGATCGAACAAGTGCTCACTTATATAAGACCAGACCAAGCAGACTACACTTTGAGCCAAGTTCAAGAACGCGAGGTGCTCGAACCTCTTCTCATCTGGACCGAATCTCTTCGTGGACCTAAATCAGATAACAAATTTTTTTTCTCAGTCCATGGACCAAGAAGTCCCTGCAGCTATGTCTCTTAGAATTTCGATTACGGAAGTGCTTTTGCATACGGATACGGATCACTAACAAGTTTCTGCAGCTATGTCTCTAAAAATTTCAACTACAGATTTCGAATACAAGGGCATCTGGATACGAGTTAAGAACAAGCTCCTGCAGCTATTACAACAACAGATTTCGAATACAAGTAGTACATTTGCATACGGATTGAAAACTTATTCCCGTAGCTATGTCTACTGAAATTTAAACCACGAGAAATCGCATGCCTAAGTGCATTTGCAGACGAATCATGGATCAACAACAAGTTTCTGCATTTCAACTACAGGTTTCGACTACATACGAGTTAAGAACAAGCTCCTGCAGCTATTTCTCTAGGTATTTCAACAACAGATTTCGAATACAAGTAGTGCATTTGCATACGGATTAAGAACTAATTCCTGTAGCTATGTCTACTGACGTTTAAACCACAGAAATCGAATGCGTAAGTGCATTTGCAGACGAATCAACGTCCGTAATTAGCAACAATCTCGCAACAACAAGACGAATCGATCAATGACGATGGGAAAATTTCGGAAGAGAATCGAATCATCTATAAAAAAAAATTATTTACAGAGTTTCCTGAAGAACGCCTTGGTAGATGTAGGCGGACCAGATCCCGGAGACGCACAATGCCAGCAACAGAATTCGCCGGAGTCCGGAGCCATGGACCTCCATCGCCCTCCGGAACCGCTCCCACGCCGCCGGTTATTCCTCCGGAAAAGTTTCGATGATTCGAATTTTACTACTCCTTTTATTCACTCTGGGATCGAATTAGAGATTCGCAAACCAAAATGTATGTGATTGAATTTTTGGAAGACGAAACGAAGTTTTATTACGAAGGCGCGAAAATAGACGTCGATGTTCCACGTGGGGGCTCAAGACTGGACTGATGATCTCACTTAACGTTTTTGATTGGCTAGGATGACGCGTATACACTTTTTGGGGGTCCAACTTGTGAAATGGTCTCCGTGTCTGAGATAGAGAGACAAACTACACGCCGTTTGGATATCGAAAAAACGCCTCTCTCTAGAAATTGCAACGTGTTTGAAAGTTTCGGTGGGTGCTTTTGAAGTTGACCAAAGTGGGGTCACAATCATTGTGGGTCATTAGATCTTTCATTTAGATGAGTTTCAATAATCACAAAATTTAATTTTCTAAGAGTTTTAATACTAGTTTTTATTCAGGGGGCAAATAAGAAGCTTGTCCATGGTATAGATATTGTAGGTGGTATTAAGTTATGAATGATAATAAAACATCTAAAAACAAAATGTTTATGAAAAACAAAGGCGATAAGATGCTTTTGTGTAAAGGAAAAGATGATAAGATTGTTGACAAATAAAAGAAAGATTGAAAGTATAGAATATGATAGCAACGCCAACTAAAATATATGCACTCAACCGTATTAATGAACTACGTGTAACTCTATTTTAATCCAATGAATGGATGGCTTAATGGTTGACAAAATATATTATTAGAAGAGATCGAAATAGTCAAATAATGGATTACTATTCACACGCTTCGTATATATAAAACCTTATGATTTTCATACTAAAAACACTTGCGTATATTATGTCAAGTTGCAAATAACGTACATTTGCATCATATTGAGCTTTTCATGTACAATTGCCGACAAAATTTATGTTATACAATTATGGTAATTGGAGCGGACAGTAACATTATCGTTCGTGATTCGACATTACACATAAATTGCTAGTAGTAGTAGTACATACGCTTTTCTAACAAAGAAAGATATTTTGTTCCATTACCAGTTTTATCACTTCAAATAATTTGCTAATTATGAAACTATTATAAATCATCAATTTTATATTTACATTCCTCATAGTCCTACGATGCTTTATACATGCTATTATCCACTTCATTTGTGAAATTTTGTCCACACGTGCTAACTGCTAAGGTGTAATATGGAAGAAGAAATGTTATTGTATGTGTCGGTCCAACGTAATGTGAATGGAATAGAGGAATTTTTTGGGTCAATGCATGAAATAAAGTTTTTGATACACTTGAAATAAATATATTCCAAAAGCGTGTTAACTACCTCTTTTTTTGCATTAAACAGTATACTAAAACTTCTGTATCCAAATTTGAATTAATTAAATCTTAGGGTTCTAAAAAGTTATTCGAATCTTTTACCAATTAATCACTCAGCGACTGGAAATCATTTATAGATTTGATGATTTGATGCATCTTAGGAGTTTTGCTTTTGCTTTTGCTTAAAGGTAAAAAAAAAATGTGAAAGCTTTACAATCTGACGCGGACTTGCTGACGCAGGCAAGTACGTAACCAGATCTAGTAACCCACTTTTACCAAACTGTCCCTTGTCGATGTCCGAAAAAAAACCAGAGAGATTCATCGGATGTAAGGGTATTATGGTCATATTACAAGATAAACCACGGACCACGGATAACAAAGCAAAATGGCAGAATCGTAAATTTGAGCAAAACCCCCACCACCACCACGACTTTTGTATGTATGGTGTGCTGTGCTTCTCTGTGATCTTTCAGAATTTCACGTTCCTTCTTCTTCTCTTCTTCTTTATTTTCTCTTAAAAAGGAAATTATTTATTTCTCTTATCATTACGATCATTCTACCATTTTAATTACTCCCAGACTTTGCGCCGCTGAGAAAACAAAAAGGAAAGAAATATATTATAAAAAAAAAAAGGGAAGAAGAAGCTCATCAGCTTCCATTTCCAGATGGTCTTTTGAATCTGCTCATTGTTTCGAGAAACAAGAAGCTTTTTTATCTTGAAAAATGGGCAATTGTTTAGATTCATCAGCTAAAGTGAATAACAGCAGCCACAGCTCTCATGCTAATTCTGGTAAGTTCCTTTTTTCCTCCATATAGCTCAGACAGAAGCTTCTTGTATTTCTCCCTCTTTTATCCAATTTCGTTACTGTCTAAGATTCCGTTATTGTGTCTTGGTTATTTTTCGCTATTCTTCACATGGGTTCCTCAAGTAACTAACTTTCTGGGTTAGAGTCCAAGCTAAATTCTCAAATTTTAAAATTTAAGCTGTTGTTCTTGTTTAGGATCTTCAAAGATCAAACCTTTCAAAATTACCCATCTCTGTAGATATTTTTTGGATTTAAATGTTTGAACAATTTACAGGAAAATGATTAAAGATGTTGAGACTTAATCATTTTCTGTTTGTAGGATTGTTAACCCTCAAGAATTCACAGAAATTTGATTTAAGTTATGATCTATCTTTAAGTCTGAGTTAGATACTTACTTTTTTTTTTGTCTCCCTTCTAATTTAGGTTCATCGGGGTCAAGAGTTTCAAGCAAGACAAGCCGTTCCACAGTGCCTTCAAGCTTAAGCATAAATTCTTACAGCAGTTTAGAGTCTTTACCTACACCAAGAACAGAAGGAGAGATACTGTCATCACCAAATCTCAAAGCTTTCACCTTCAACGAGCTCAAGAGCGCTACTAGGAACTTCCGGCCAGATAGTCTTTTAGGTGAAGGAGGTTTTGGTTATGTCTTTAAAGGATGGATCGATGGAACAACTTTGACTGCTTCGAAACCGGGTTCTGGAATCGTTGTCGCTGTCAAGAAGCTTAAAACTGAAGGCTTTCAAGGTCATAAGGAGTGGTTGGTACGCCGTTTTTTCTCTCCCCTTTCTCTTTTAATCGGTTGAATTGTTAAAAAAAATTGTTTGCTGACATGTTTGTTTGGTTTCAGACTGAAGTGAACTATCTTGGTCAGCTTAGTCACCCAAATCTTGTCAAACTAGTTGGGTATTGTGTTGAAGGTGAAGACCGGTTATTAGTATACGAGTTCATGCCAAAAGGAAGCTTGGAGAATCATCTTTTTAGACGTATGTAAAAACCTGAGCAAAGTCCTGTTTCAAATTCTGACAAATCTTAGGTTTTGTAATACCCATACAAATGGTCTTATTTGGTGTTTCAGGTGGCGCTCAGCCTCTAACATGGGCTATAAGGATGAAAGTTGCAATAGGAGCAGCCAAAGGGCTTACATTTCTTCACGACGCTAAATCGCAAGTGATATACAGAGACTTCAAAGCTGCGAACATTCTACTCGACGCTGTAATAAACCTGATTAGCATATACTCTCTTCAACACGTTATTGAGGATTTCACTTATTCTTTTTTTTTTTTCTAACCAAGACTTGTGTTTGGATCTTAATCACAGGAATTCAACGCTAAGCTTTCAGACTTCGGTCTAGCTAAAGCAGGTCCTACTGGTGATAGGACACATGTGTCCACACAAGTCATGGGTACTCACGGATACGCAGCACCTGAATATGTAGCCACAGGTGAGAGAAACTTTGGCCTTTGCTTCAAAAGTTTTAGCCTTTTGCGGCTCGTAGTCTCATACACTTTTACTTTCCTAACACTTTTGAGCTTTCATCTACAGGTCGATTAACAGCTAAGAGTGATGTATACAGTTTCGGTGTTGTGCTGCTGGAGTTACTCTCAGGACGAAGGGCCGTGGACAAATCAAAAGTGGGAATGGAACAGAGTCTAGTGGACTGGGCAACACCGTATCTCGGCGACAAGAGAAAGCTCTTTCGAATAATGGACACGAGATTAGGAGGTCAGTATCCTCAAAAAGGAGCGTACACAGCTGCTAGTCTTGCGCTGCAATGCCTAAACCCTGACGCAAAACTCAGACCGAAAATGTCAGAAGTTTTGGCCAAATTAGATCAGCTTGAAACTACTAAACAGGGAACTGGAATTGGCTATAGACAAGCTCAGCTTGATTCTCCGAGAGGTAGTGCCGGAGTTGGAACAAGACACGCTCAGATTGATTCTCCGAGAGGTAGTACTGGAGTTGGGACAAGACAAACTCAGATTGATTCTCCAAGAGGTAGTAATGGAATTGGAACAAGACAAGCTCAGATTGATTCTCCAAGAGGTAGTAATGGAATTGGAACCAGACAAGGTCTGATTGATTCTCCGAGAGGTAGTAATGTGGTACAGAAATCTCCGAGGAGGTATAGTTATGATCGGCCTCTCTTGCACATAACCCCTGTTGCTTCTCCTTTGCCTGATCACAATCAGTCTCCTCGTGTAAGATAGTATCAACGTCATAGTTTTCTGTTAGTAAAATGTATACTCTGTGTGTAAAATTATGCATCTTTTCACACTACATGGATTTTTGATGTTGTTTTGAAACTATTGTTCAGTTTTTGTTTTCTAATCGTTTGAAAATATCTCAGTAATATAATTTTGGTGATAGTTGTTAAACTATGTTATTCTTGGCTCACCTACATAAAAATTTGATTATTTATTTCAAGGTACTAACTATTTTGGTTCAGTTCGATGATAGACAATCTTCAATTCAGCTTCTTGTTAGTAAAAAAAATTGGATTTAACAGAACTAAATTTAGTAGTTTGCTAAATTTCGCTTGTTTAACAGAACTAATAATGCAAAATTCAAGAACAAACTGAAAATGATTAGGGAGAAGCATTATGAGAACTATTTAGTATTTACTTAAAAAAACCTTTTTGTTTGCGAAGACAGAGCATCTGAGAGTAAAACTAAGGAGCACACATGTCAAAGACTCATCACACCAAACCAAAACAAACCAAAACACACAGAAAAACATAGAAACAAAACAGTTAAAATGATTAAAAAGGTTTCAGAGCTTTGTCCAACAGTGTAAGATGATGAGGATGACTCTTTGGATTTGCTTTCTCTATTGCCTCAAATGACTTCACCGTTTCCACTCAGCTTTCGTCGATTTATCTGAAATAAAAATGAGCAAAATGGTTTAAAGGATGTATATTCCAGTGTAAATGTTGAAACTTTCAAAAGGCTTATGTATAATAAAACTTTAAACTTCTTACCACCAATGTCCTTGGAAGACGAAAAAGATCTGTCACTGTTCATTGATCCTTTAGCTGAAGCTATGAGAAGTCTGTGAGCCCTTGGAGACATTGTACTCAGCTTACCATTGGCTGCAGGAGGAAGAGAGTGGCGTCGTGTTGTTGTCCCGTTTTTCTCAGGCTTCTCCTGAGCAATCCTTGGAGATCCTTGTCCTCTTACTCTTGCCTTTGCAGATGCAGTTGGAGCCATATAGCTTGGGATCTTTCTCCCGCTATGTGTAAGCCCATCTTCTTGGTGATGATTCTCAATCATTGCAGGTAGGGAAGCTCGTCTATCGCTCGGCTTTGTGTTTTCAGGAGCAGCAGTTCCATTCTCAGAGCTAATAATCTGCACATCTGGCTCTTGGGTTTCTTCCTCAGCTTTATCAATGCTCTCTGCGGTTTTGAGTTCATCTTGCTCAGGGTTATCCAGAACCGGTGACTTCTCATCTTTCTCAAGATCAGCCTCTTTTGAAACCGTTGCAGGTGTGTCTTCCACCTTTTCCTCTTCAGGAGTATCAACTACAGGAGCTGAAACCTTGTCACCAGGCAATTCTTTCTGCACTGAATCTGCAGCCTCTTTCTTCTTCTCAGCGTTCTGCACTGAATCTGCAGTCTCTTTCTTCTTCTCAACGTTCTGCACTGAATCTGCAGTCTCTTTCTTCTTCTCAGCGTTCTGCACTGAATCTGCAATCTCTTTCTTCTTCTCAGCGGACTTGCGGGTAGGTTTCTCTAACACATTAGAAAGTGAAGCCTTTTTGAGACTAGTTCTAGGCTTCTCATCTTTAACCTCCAGTGAAGACCCTTCCTTTAAGGCGCTGGTACTTTTTCTTGAGCTCTGCTTAGCCTTGTCGTTCTCGATTCTTGAAAGCTCTTTACCAAGCGTGGAAGCCTTCCGCACATTTCGCTTAGGCTTTTCGTTTTCAGCTGCAGAACGGCTACTAGAACTATGCCCAGTATTTGAACCACCGGGTGGTTTCTTGACACCTCTCTTCATTTTTCCCTTGTCCGCTTCAACTGCTTGAAAACTTCGCTTCTTTGTCTGAGTCGATTTTGGAACCAGACTCTTCAACACCAGTGGACCAGGAGCCCAAACTTGCAATTGTGTCCAGCGCATAAGCCACACCTTGGCTGAGTTAGGATCCTCAGGACCATACTGAATCTTGAGAGGCAATGTCGTTGGTGTTGAAACTAGAAGCTGAAAAGCCATGGAAACAAATAAGACAAGTGCGCGTTACAGAATCGCATAGCAAGATGATGTTGATGTTACCTTATCAATCATGGAGAGCTTTGTGGGATTCCCAAGCCAACTGTATGAGCTCCCTTGCACAGTTTCAGAATTCTCCGTTTCCTAACAGACAAAAGAAATTACAACTTTGAATGCAAAATCAAGCAACGGTTAACACAGTGGAACTAATAAGCTAATAGACACTAAATACCGTATTTGTCTTCTGAAGTTGAACCCCGGTTTCTGAAGATCTAGCTTTCTTCCCGCGGGCAAGAGCTTGTAACTTCACAATTCCCCAAATGCACGAGTATGTAGCAACAGCTTGTCTTCTAACCAAGTGACCACGGATAACTGCTTGCAGCTTTATGATACTCTTAAGCGTTTGAAACTCTTCACGGGCCTTCACAAGTTAGAAAAACAACAGAGTATAAGCAGAATAAGAACCGAAATCTCAATACTAGAATGTAGAAGAGAAGAAGAAGAACTCAACCTGATGAGCTCTGAAAGCAGCTTGAACCTTTGTAGCAGCTTCTTCAAGTTTGAGCTCTCCTGTGTCATTCCCTGACTCAAGATTCACATTCGCCTCATCGCCTTCAATGCCTCCGCTAGGCTGCTTCTCAGGGGTTACAGCATCAGGGACTATTACAGTTGGAGTAGCTGCAACTTCTCGTGATGAAACTACTACCGGAGGATCCGTAGGTAAGTTTGAGACATTATTATCCTTCACCTTCACCACAAGCTCGTCTTTCTTTGCAGATCTCTATCACATATGAACAATGTTTACAGTTACATATCATTATGTTTTTGACAGAGAGAGAAATAAAAAAAAAACAGTAACTTTCATCCATATTGTTACCAATTTATCGCTTCCTTTCTCCGAACTCGACTTGGATGGCTTCTTCCCAAGAAGAGACTTGATCCATTTACCAGGACTTGGCGTCTTTCCCATTTTTTTATGTGGCTACAATTAGAAAGTTGCTACAAAAATAGAAACCTGCATAAGCCAGAAAACATTTCGAATAAGCACAAGCTAAGGTCAAAACAAATATAAAGTCTGTGAATTTCAAGTAGTTTACACAGCGAATCTACAGTCGCAAACAGATTCCATATATAGAATCACAAATCTGTAAAATAAAAACCCTAGAAACACACACAAGACATGAAGCATGGACAGAGAGAGAGATTAACCCTAACAATCAGAAACAAGACGAAGACAGACATCGACGGTGCAGTAATTAAAGCAAAAGTAGAATGAATCGAAAGAGAGAGACGAATGAAAAAAAAAAAGTAAGGAAAGCCAAAGTAACACATAGACCCATTATATAAAGTGAAAAAGCAGAGATTTTGACGATGACAAACCAAAACCCATGTCGATTTAACAGAGAAACAAGCGGGAAAATGAGGAAAAAAAAACGTAGACACAGATACCAGAAAACCCAAAACGTTTTTCGAACAAATTCGAGCTTGAAAATCGAAAAGAAAGATACTTTGTAGGCAAAATCAAAGAGTGAAAGAAGATGGAACAACACTGAGTACCCAGATCTGAGTATAAATCAAAAGTGGAAACTGTTTTTTTTTTTTGGTGCGGAGGTTTCCCTAAAATGGGTAAAAAAGAAATTTGAAAATGTCAAACCAACCTCGAATGGAATCCCCAATGTAGTTGAAGATAGACGAAGATGTAAAGAATCGTCTCTATTAATTCTTCACAGTGTTGTCTGTTTTTTTTGCGCTCCTCGCCGGAGCAGTGACCTAAAAACACAAAAGTGGTTACAGTGAGAATTACACTCTCACCGTTTGTAATGTGAGAGAGAGAAAGAGGAGCAACAAAAAGAGAGAGAAAAACGGTTCGAAAACGACGGCGTTTGAACTGTGTTTTGCTGAATTTAAGGATGGGCCTTGTTAATAGGCTTCGGATAATGTTAGCCCAATAGAAGAGTAGCTGTAGATTTTGTTGGAATTTACTGAAATATCCTTCCTTTTGTCGAATTAACAATTTTTTTTGCAAAAAAATAAGTAAAGTTAAGGATTAGGCTGTCAATCTGTCATTATCGAAGTGGTTAATCCGCTGAATCCTGACATTGAAAGTCACTAAATGTTTATTAATTACGTGTCTCTCTTTCTTAGATATTTAAAGTCCTTTCATTGGCCAACCAAAACAAGAAATAAGTGACAGTCTTTTCGTTAATACTACTTAATAGCACAAAATGTATTTCACCTGATTCAGATAAAATATAGTGTTAGTTAAAAAAAAAATGAATACCATCCTACGGAGAAAATGCATATCGTTAAAAAGAAAAAAAAAATGTAAATTTTAATTTTAAAATAATAATTTATATATGAAATGAACTAGAATTGTCAAAATTGTGATTGAATGCATCCATAATACATAACTTTAAAAGTTGACTGTACAGTGATGATGATATGCATTGTCCGAAATTAAAAACTCGTATAATATGGTTAAAAGTAAAAAAATAAATCCATGTAACACAGGTTTGAAGTTGAAATATTTTGGGCTAAACATGTGGGCTTGAAAGTAATAAATTTGTAATGCGAAGAAGCTCAAAATAGCGGCCTTTTTGTCTAGTTGTTTATTTTTAAATGGAATTATATAGCAAAATAATTGGATTTTTTAGGAGAAACCAAAAGAAAAAGGAAAACATATATCCGAGTTTAAAGACTTTGAATATAGTAAAACTTTTTCTTTTGTTAATACTATAAATGCCTGTTGAGGAAATATTAAATGAAACTTTGGCAGTGACGATTGTTCGAAGGCGGTTGCATGTGCAGATGTGTGCTTCATCGTCTAAAATACATAAATATTTTACAATAATAATGGGTTCAAAACATTCAATTTGTTGAAGAAAACAATAATAATAATAATTTCATAACACTATTTAAAAAGTAGGAGTTGTTATATATAAAAAAAGGAATAAAAGAGAAAAGAAATGAGCAGTTGATCAGAACAAAAGAATACAGCTCAACATTTGTAAAGAATCTCAAATACTTTTAAAGAAAAGACACAAACGTAATGGTTTCGCTTTCTGGAGAACAAATAACGACATACATTTCTTGATCTCATTCTCACCGACAAGTAACCAAACTTCTCTAGTCTGATCAATTTATACAGATGTTTTACTCAAAATAAAAATCATAGATACATGTTCTAAACAAAAGCACGTGTTGCATTTAAAATAAGGGGTCCCTTAAAAATAAACAAAGTACATTACGAATTAGTTTTACGAAAATTAACAGAAAAAACAACTATTAATGTAATGGTGTTAAGTGTACTTTGATCTGTGCACTAATATCAAATGTTTGACGTTTTGCTGAGTCTTCTGACTTCATAATTATATACCGGTCATTATATCAAAATACTAACAAGTTGAGCTAAATTAAACCAAAAGACTTTAAATCTGAAAGTCTTTGATCATTACAGGTATACATAATGTGAACTAGAAGTTAAAACTATAAGAAAAATCATACTAGTCATGTTCTTCGATGCATTAAAAGTGCTTTTAAAAGAAAAGAAAAAAAATCATAGTTATGTTCTTATATGCATTAAAAACAGTCTGTCGAGCTGAGGTTGTGCAATGTGCAGTAATGAACGAACAAACAAATACTCCACTATATAAAAAGTTTATATTAAACGAAAGATCTCATTTATTGCCTCCACTTAATTTGGGTTTTCTCTCTTCTTTTAATTTTCCCACGAAAATCTTAAGAAAGCTTATAATTTTCTACCCATAACTCTTTTTTTCTTTCTTTCTCTTGATCCTAAGTTTTCCTCCATTTTCCCAATAGATCTGCCTCTGTGATCCAAGAAAAGTGACAAGTTCCAATGAGTTTCTGTTTCTCTAAGCTAATCACATATTCATCACTGTAAATTTTCCCGACAAAATGCAGAAGTCTCTGCAAATCCATGTAATTTCCCTCACTTTCTTTCTTCTTCTTCTCCTTCTTCTTCCACTACTCTCCGAGTCTCAGTTAGCTCCAAGTGAATCAAAAACTCTAACTGAAATCCAAAAGCAGCTACAGTATCCACAGATTCTTCAGTCATGGACAAATACAGCCAACTTCTGCCACATTCCTTCTTCTCCTTCCTTCAGAATTATCTGCTTCAAAGGTCACATAACAGAATTAACCATCGCCGGAAACAGAACCAGTAAGCTCTCCGGAAAATTTGACAAGCTCTTCACTCTTCTTACAAAACTCACCAGCTTAAACACTTTGTCTCTTGTCTCACTCGGAATCTCTGGTTCTCTCTCTCCAAAGTTCATCGCCGATTTATCACCGTCTCTTCAATCTCTCAATCTCAGCTCCAATTTCATCTCCGGGAGAATCCCAAAAGAGATCACGTCTTTGAAGAATCTCAAAAGCCTTGCTTTATCAGACAATCTTTTCAACGGTTCTGTCTTTGATCTCAGAGGATTGTCGAACCTTCAAGAGCTGGATTTGGGAGGTAACAATCTCGGTCCTCAAGTTCCTTCACTCCCAAGTAACCTCATCAGTGTTTCACTGAAGAGCAACTCCTTTAGATCCAAGATTCCAGAACAGATCAAGAAGCTGATCAAGCTTCAAAGTTTAGACCTTTCTTCCAACGAAGTCAGTGGGTCAATTCCAGAGTTTCTGTTCTCTCTTCCTTCTCTTCAAACTCTCACTTTGGCTCAGAACATGTTAAGCGGATCGCTTCCAAATTCCTCTTGCAGCTCCTCAAAGGTCAAAACTTTAGACGTCTCTCACAATCTTCTAACCGGAAAGCTTCCGTCTTGCTACTCTTCCAAGAGTTTCAGGAATCAGACAGTGCTCTTCTCATTCAACTGCTTGTCTTTGATTGGGACTCCTAACTCAAAGTATCAGCGTCCGCTATCTTTCTGTCAAAACCAAGCAAGCAAAGCAATAGCTGTGGAGCCTGTACCCAAGGCTGAAGTGAAAGAATCCGCAAGAATCAAACTCGGTTTGGTGATTCTGATAGTCATCGGTGTGGTCATCCTTGCAGCAGTTTTGGTTCTGTTGGTTTTGATTGTCCTGAGAAGAAGAAGATCAAGATCAGAAGAAGACACTTTTGAAGTAAACAACAACAATGAAAGACATGCCTCTGATAAAGTCTCAGTTTGCAGCACCACGACCACTAGCACTAAGTCATTACCAGATTCAAGTAAACAAAGACGATTATACTTGGAAACCTCAGAAACTGATCTTTTTTTTTTTCTCTAGCAAAAACCATTAACAGAGTTTTTCTGAGTGTAGGACGTGTACCACAGACAATGAGATCTGCAGTGATTGGTTTGCCACCGTACCGGATCTTCTCCTTGGAGGATTTAGAAGAAGCGACTAACGACTTTGATGCAGCAAGTTTGTTCTCTGAACAGGTAAAAACAAAAACAAACATGGCATGAGCTATATAATCTAAAGCCTGACTGATTGATTGATATCTTTTGGTATTCCAACAGTTGTACAGAGGATGTCTCAGAGAAGGCATAGCAGTGACAGTGAGATGTATCAAGCTGAAGCATAAGAGTTTGCCACAGAGCTTAGCTCAGCAGATGGAAGTTTTATCAAAGCTAAGGCATATGCATTTGGTTAGTGTTCTCGGACATTGCATTGCCAGTAACCAAGACCACAATCAACACGCTGGGCACACCATCTTCATTGTCCAAGAGTATATCTCAAACGGGTCGTTGAGGGACTTCCTCACAGGTAATTCCTGATAAAAAAATGACAGATAATTACATTCAGTTTTCAAGGAGATTCAAATGGGAATTGTTTAATCAGATTGTAGGAAGAAAGAGGTGTTGAAATGGCCTCAGAGAATGGCGATAGCCATAGGAGTCGCTCGAGGGATACAGTTCCTGCACATGGGAGTAGCACCGGGAATCTTTGGGAACAATTTGGAGATTGAGAATATTATGCTTGATGAAACACTCACTGTAAAAATCAGTGGCTACACTATTCCTTTACCATCCAAGGTATAAAACACTTTGCATTATTTTCATTTTTAGTTCTTATCATTCAATCTAATGATAATTTCCTGGCAATTCTAGGTTGGAGCAGAGAGCCCTCAAGCCAAAAGTCCCCGGAGGTTTATATCTCTTTTAAGATAAGATAAAATGTGTTTCCCTGCTATCAAATTCTGAAACTTGTAATGGAACTGTGTGCAGTAATGAGGATGGAGAGAAAGAAGATGTGTACCAGTTTGGAGTAATACTACTTCAGATCATCACAGGCAAAATAGTGACTGCAGGTTCTTCAGAGATGGGAAGTTTGAAGCTTCAGGTCTGTTCTGTTTCAGTCTGAAACATTTTGCATCTTTGCTAATCAGACACAGCTAAAAAATTTGGAACCTTTTTTGTTCATTTTTGTAATTGGCAGCTGGAGAATGGTTTGAGAGATGAACCAACAGTACTGAGCAGCTTGGCAGATCCATCTGTTACAGGATCATATGCTTACGAGTCGCTGAGGACGACAGTGCAGTTTGCTATCAACTGTCTTTGTGAAGATCAGAGCAAGCGACCATCGATTGAAGATGTTGTGTGGAATCTCCAGTACACAATTCAAGTGCAGCAAGGATGGACAAACAGTGGGAATCATGAAGCATCCATGAAGGCAATATATGAATGAAAAATCCTCAGCAAAAAAAAAGTATCAGAAAGAGAGATAAATTGTAGAAATAATGATGCAAAGATATGATGAATGTAGAGATAAGTGTCAACAAGTCAATATGTAGCAGCTTCATGGATTAGCATAACCTGTTGTTTTCTAAATAAAGCAAAAGAAGATCTGCGAGAATGATCGAATTGAAATACATATCATAATTATGAAGATGACTGTTGATGGTAGGATAATACATGGAAATACATAGAAACATTAAAAGCAACAAATCACAGAGTTTGAAAAACACACACAAAGACGGGAAAGAAAGAGAGACAGAGAGAATTGCTGGTGGGAATCAAACACAAAAGAGAGCTTTGTTCAGCTGTTTTTGAAGACAAATTGCTACAACAAATATTATTTATTAGTCTGCAGTCCAGCTTTGTTCCACAACCTCGCGGACTCTTCTGTTGTACTCGCGCTTGCTTTCGCTGAACATCCTTGCAGCTTCCGAATTCGCAGGAGAGTTCGGATTAGGATCACAGAGCAATGACTGTCATTAATAAAAGAAAAGAGAGATTGTTCAACCAATGTGATCAGATCAAGAACAACAACACTCATCAACGGTTCTACTGAGAAGAAGCATTTCAAGATGACATTTCTGTATAATTTTACCTGAATGGAGGTAAGTATGGCAGCGACATCATATATTGGACTCCACTGGTTTTGGAGAATGTCCAAGCATATACTCCCATCAGCATAAACTACACGACAATGATCAAGCATGAGTTTTCTATGAACCTTATGCACTCAGAATAAGAAAAAAGCTGGTGTTGTTCATCTTTAACTTACTGTTTGGATGGAACATCCGTGAAACAAACCGAACCGTTGGTGGTTTGTTTGGATAATCTTCTGAAAACTGCAGTGAGAGTTTGAAAGTACCTGACAAGATCCATACAAAGAGAGATATAAGAACCGCTACGAAAAGATTACCAAAAATCTCAACATAAAAGTGATTACAATAACGTAAGCTCACCTCCATCCCATGGGGTATCATCAGGCCTGCAAAATTTCACAAACAGAAGAGGCGTACGTAATTAAGCACAGAGAAGACTTTGAATGTTTCTGTAAGACTGTCACCAACAAAAAAGTATCAAATTTTTAACTCGTTTCATTACCCGAATATAACGGCGTTCCACAGCATGATGTTGTTGTCTTGCGGAGCACCGCTGATTCCTGCAGGCGGGTCTTGCTGCAACCTCTTGAAGTCCCTCATCAATCTCTTCCTCGCTGGAGTCGACATCTTTCTCTTACTCTATCAAAAACCCACCAAGCAACGGAAGATTATCTAAGCGAAGCCCATCACAGAACTCGAAAAATCAAAACTTTCATTGTTGTTCATAATTGTAGATACAACCAGCTTCAACATCACACTCCAGTTTTTTTTTTGCTAACTCTGAACAAATTGCCTAAATAAGGTCGAATTAACTGGTTTTGCCATACATTTGAAATCTGCCGGATATTATATAACCTATAATCAATTGCAAATCGGAAAAGTAATCTCTTTTGAAGACCGAATCAATTCACCAAAAAAGCAGCCAGAAATTGATACGAACATATGAAACTAAATTAAAATTCCACGGATCGAGTAACGAAACACGGTGGGAAAGAGATCAGATAACAAAAAGTTCAAGGGAGAGATCTCACTGTTGAGGAAAAAAGGTAAAGATCGAGACGAGAACGGTGGATGTCGTCGTCAAGCGAGCATCTCTCCTTGCGGCGAGGAAAAAGGTTGGAAATTCAAGCGACGGTGATAGCAACCGGTGATGAGAGAAAAATTCTCCGATCGATACAAGGTCCTCGATTTCACCGTGCGAGAATGAGAAATGATGTGGAACTTGGTATAACGCACGAAGTGGTGTGATCTTCTAGAAACTTCGATCTAAAACATATCTGTTTGTACAGTCAGACTCAGATATTTGCTCAGGCGACCGCAGGAGGACGCTAAACCGAAATATAACCGTCGAATCGAGTTGAAACCGGTTTAAACCAACAATAGTGGGGATTTTGATTTTATTTGACCGGAAATGTTATTGTTTTTGATCCCTGTCGTCGACAATGGAGGAGGAGCTTTGATGTGTGTCTTTGTGCTCCATTTTGCCTCTCTCGATGATAAACCTCACGAGGCACCGATTCGTCGGTGGGGTTTCGCTAGATGCGGTGTATTGCACGCGCCGCCACTATTCTACTGAGTCTCCCAACAAGTTCACATTCCCGCCTCTTCTCAAATCATGCGCGAAGCTCGGTGACGTTATCCAAGGTCGAACTCTACACGCCCAGATCATAAAAACCGGGTTTTTCGTCGATTACTTCACCGCCACAGCTCTTGTGAGTATGTACATGAAGGTTAAGCAGACGACGAATGCCCTTAAGCTGCTCGACGAAATGCCGGAGAGGGGTATTGCTACTGTTAATGCGGCGGTTTCTGGCCTTATGGAGAATGGGTTTTCGAGAGAGGCGTTTAGGATGTTTGGGGAAGCTAGGCTTTCTGGGTCTGGGACGAATTCGGTTACCGTGGCTAGCGTTTTGGGTTGCTGCGAGGATATCGAAGGAGGGATGCAAATGCACTGTTTGGCGATGAAGTCAGGTTTTGAGGTGGATGTTTACGTCGGAACATCTCTTGTTTCAATGTACTCGAGATGTGGAGAGTGGATTTTAGCTGCGAAGATGTTCGAGAAGGTGCCTCATAAGAGTGTCGTCACTTACAATGCATTTATCTCCGGATTGATGGAGAATGGAGTTCCACATTTGGTCCCTAGTGTCTTCAATCTCATGAGGAAGTTTTCAAGTGAAGAACCAAACGCTGTTACCTTCATCACTGCGATATCTGCTTGCGCTAGTCTTTTGAATCTCCACTACGGGAGGCAAATCCACGGTCTTGTCTTGAAAAAAAAGTTTCAGCTTGATACGATGGTCGGTACAGCTCTCGTTGATATGTATTCGAAATGCCGCTGTTGGAAATCAGCATACGGCGTTTTCAATGAGCTGAAAGATACCAGGAACTTGATATCTTGGAACTCTGTTATCTCTGGGATGATGATTAATGGACAGCATGAGGTAGCAGTTGAGCTCTTTGAACAGTTGGATTCCGAGGGGATTAAGCCCGATTCAGCGACATGGAACTCACTGATCAGTGGCTTTTCACAGCTGGGGAAAGTAACGGAAGCTTTCAAGTTCTTTGAGAGAATGATATCTGTAGTTATGGTTCCTAGTTTGAAATGTCTTACTAGCCTTCTCTCGGCTTGCTCAGATATTTGGGTTTTAAAGAACGGCAAAGAGATCCATGGTCATGTCATTAGAGCTGCAGCTGAAAGGGATGTCTTTGTTTCGACGTCTCTCATCGACATGTACATGAAATGTGGGCTCTCGTTGTGGGCTCGCCGAATCTTTGATCGGTTTGAACCGAAACCCAAGGATCCCGTGTTCTGGAACGTAATGATATCTGGCTATGGTAAACATGGAGAGTGTGAATCTGCAATTGAAATCTTTGACCTACTACGAGAGGAGAAAGTAGAACCGAGTTTAGCAACCTTTACTGCTGTTCTATCCGCGTGTAGTCACTGTGGGGATGTCGATAAGGGGTTTCAAGTTTTTGGTTTGATGCAGGAAGAATATGGATTTAAACCTAGTACAGAGCACGTTGGTTGTATGGTTGATCTTTTGGGTCGCTTTGGGAGATTAAAAGAAGCCAAGGAAGTAATAGATCAAATGTCAGAACCATCATCTTCGGTTTACTCTTCTTTGCTCGGTGCATGTAGGCAACACCTTGATCCAGTGCTTGCAGAGGAAGCAGCAACGAAGCTAGCAGAGTTAGAGCCAGAGAATCCAGCTCCATTTGTGATCTTGTCCAGCATATACGCTGCATTAGAAAGATGGCAAGATGTGGAAAGTATCAGGCATGTAATCGATGAGAAGCAACTTGTAAAACTTCCAGGTGTTAGTTCGTCTGGTTAAGTATATGGACCGGCGATGCAGAGAGGTTTACTGTGAGCAATGGACATGGTTCTCTTTGGGGAGTAGAGGCATGCTCTTGGTTCGGAGTACATAAAGCAGATGATACAGTGATTCAGGTCTACATTCGCAGTGTGGAGCTAACCCAACAAAGAGAAACAGCTCATTGTGTGGGGTATTACACTCGGTTTAATGTCTTAATGCAATAATCCACACAATGATCTCTTGTTCTTTGTTGAGCTTAGGTCACGTGGATGCAATCCTGAGTTGCTTGTATCACCTCAGAATCGAGAGCTTGCCTATGCTCCCCGAAGAGACATATATGCCTTATTACAACGAACCATCGAGGTGTAAGGAAGAGTTTAAGACCCTTTGTGATGAATATCATTTGTAAATTAAAGATAAGATCATTAGAGAAGAGGAGCAGGAAGATGATTCTTGTATTACCAAAATTGTAACCGTTTGCTCTTGAATCAAAACAAATTGTCTAACACAGAAAATGAGTTTTTCCTAAACACAACGCATCCTACAAACACTACTTTCAGTCTTTACTGCTACTTTCTTTTTCCTTCTGTTGTCCCCATCAGCTCTTGGCGACTCATTTGATTGCAATAACAAAAAAAAGATGGGATGGACAAAGAAACCAAGTTTGCAAGGTTGTCTGTAATCTCAAATCATCTACTCCATTCGTAGTCACCTCCATACTTAGGTGACGCATTGTTCAGACGGCTAGAGTCTTCTGGTTTGATGGAGTTTGCAAATGCTTGCCAGCCTATAAGGTGCGGCAAGATGAACTGCGATACGATAATGTATAAAGATTAAATTAAAGGCAAAGGCTTTTTTCTCACAAATAGAGAGAGAGAGAGATAGAGATTGAAGAGAGGGCTTACGTTGAAAGCAGAGACGAGAACAGCAAACTCTGCTTTAGTGATTGGTATGTACACACTCTCATCAACATTCAAAAGCTTGTTTTGAACACCTTCATAGAAACAAATAAGAACAGCATGAGATTACGAAATCAGGAGTCCAGTAAACAGGAAAGAAAAGATTCATTTACTTACTCAGGTTAAAGAAACGGCCAGAACCATCTGGGAGGGGTTCAACTTTCAACACTTTCCTCACTTTACCTTCATCACTCCTACAACAACCACACAACACAAACATCGATGATTAGCGAATCAGAACTAAAAGAAAGCTGCGTAATCAATAGATCTCTTGGGTTCCTAATCATACCCTTTTCCCTTGTTTGGATCATGGAAGAACTCACATGATTCCCTCGGCCCAAGGCTAACTAGGTTACCGATTTCTGAAACCGACAATGAGAAAACCTGCATCAAAGCAAAGACATGCCTAACTTCAAATCAAAACATGAACTTACCAGTTACCACAATCATGACAGAAAGTAAATAAAAAGGCTACTTCTTTCACCAAAATAAAGTTCATGATCATAATCACAATCTATGATGTCCTAAGCTGAAGATAAAACCAACATTAAAACATTGATCTAACCACAATCATAATAGAAAGTAAAAGGCTATTTATTTCACTAAACCCAGTGATGATCATCATCACAATTCTTTTGACTACTAAGTTAAAGATAAAACCAGACCTGTTTCCTGCTCCAATCATATTGACGAACACCAGCAGCAGGAGCAAACTGAAGCAGCAAGAAACCTTCCTTTGAAAGCTTCAACGCACCAGACTGAATCAAAGAAAATGGAGATCAGACTATAAGATCGATAGAGAGATGATTCAACAGAGCTTGGAAAAGAGACATACTTCTAAAGCCACAAACTCCGGTGCTCGTGGCTCTATTGTAAGAGCAGCTTTCCCTTTGTAAATCGAATGACCCACGTAAAATCGTGGAGAAGATCCTTCAGCTATAATCCAAACAAACAAACAAACACAAATCACAAAGTATGAGCTCTTAAGTTTCGAAATTTCTGGATTTTATGCTTCCATTTTTAAAATCAAAACTACAGATGAACAAACATGCATCAATGGATACACAACTAGGTTTCAAAACTGAAGGTCAATTTTTCTTTGGGAATTTCACGCTTCCATTTGCAATTTTTTTTCTCGGATTTGGAACAAGCTTTTAAGTGGCTCTTTACCATTTTGTGGCGAGTAAGGCGGCGAAGAAGACGAGTCGACATATCTCTGCTTCTCGAAGTAATCCTCTTGACGAGACTTTACCGATAGCTTCACCTTCGCCGTCGGTTTCACAGCAAATCCATTCCGTTTCCCGGAGAAACCACCGGCGGTAAGGAAACTAGCGTCTGTGAACCGGTGGTTTGTGAAGATTTTGGAGTTTACCGCCATTGGAGGTGAAGATAAGAGTTGCAGATACTGCTGAGACATCGTCTTCTCCACTGAGATACAACGGAGGAAAAGGGTTTTCAAATTTCAACTAAGGAGAGACAGACAACTTTTCGTTAATTCGTTTTTTTTACCAGATAATAAAGAACCTTGCAAAATTGGCCGGTAGTGTTATTATAAAGTGGACTATCTTACTAAAATGCACGGTTCAGATCTATTCATTACGCTTCTGTAAATCATCAACGGTCCAGATTAGTTTCGTGGAGAGGGTCAAAATAATTTAGCACAACTACGGAAAATGCATAAACGACACCGTTTATTAGAAACCGACTTTGAGCAGCTTGACAGTTTCTTACGCCGGCGAGCGAAATTTCAGACCTCGACGAAGAAGACAACTTTTTTTTTTTAATTGACCTGTGAGGATTTTTGATCATGGCTATGCAATCCGGTATTGGGTTATCGAGGATTCTGATTTTAGCTGGAGCAGGTAAATACGGTTTCTCGATCATGATTGTGGAGTTTCTGAAGACTTCTATAACCCTTTTTTTTTGTTGCTTATTGGTTTTTCGAATCTGAAGGTTATACTAGTACGATTCTGGTCAAGAATGGAAAAATGGCGGATATTTTAGGGGAGTTACAGGTACGATTATGTGAAGGCTTCTTTCGTTCTTCTGAATTTTGTACGAGGAAGGAGTAGTAAAAATATATCTTTTTTTGTCTCTTGATCACGCAAATTTGAAGGCTTTGGTTAAGCGATTTGAGAAACCAGGAGATAATTCAGATGATGATTCGGATGCCATGGCTACTCAGGTAATATTGTGTATGAACCTTGTGATGAAGGGTGTGTGTGTGTGTGAATAGAAAGTTAAACTATGTGGGATTTTGTAGATGCAACGATTAGCAATGGAGATTCGGCAAATGGCCTCGTCTCGGCAGATAACTGTCATGAATGGAGCTCAAGGAGGTTTATCTCCGGCTAGATTTGAAGAATGTATTGTGTGTTCTTTATGTAAATCTTTCTCACATTTCTCTGCTGAACTTTCCAGCTGACTATACACCGTTGATAGTCCCGGCAGCAACATTGGGAGCTATAGGCTATGGCTACATGTGGTATAAGGTATCTTATACAACCCTAATATCTGTCTTTTGGGATGATTACTATGTTAGCTGATGGTTTGTTTCTCTCGTAGGGGATGTCATTCTCTGACATCATGTGCATAACCAAGCGGAACATGGACAATGCAGTGGCGAACTTGACTAAGCATTTGGACACCGTTTCAGAAGCTATCTCTGTGGGTGCTTCTTCCATCAGTTGTTGCTTCATGTAATCATGCCTTGGATATGATCTTTAAGGGATCCTAATTGTATAGTGATTTTTTTGCGTTATGTTGTTGGTCAGAGTGCTAAGAAGCACTTGTCCGAGCGGCTTAAGAAGACGGGCGATAAGCTGGACTCGCAGAAGGATCTCTTAAATGGAGTCAAGGATAATGTACGAACATGTCCTTATCAAGTATTAACAAAGTTTCGAGGTTTCTTCTTTTTTTAAGGTTGTATTAATAAGTTTCAGATGTATGGAACAGGTGGGTTTGGCTCTTGACGATCTTGCTAACATTGGAGATGATCTTGACGCAATGCATAGCATGTTTGGTGGTATGGTGCGTGTACATCTGTTTAAAATAACTTTTTCTCTGTTTCTTTGTTGTCACAAAAATTGAGACGATATGTGACCACCAATAGGACTTTTTCTCTCTTCTTACTTATAACTTAACATTAACTTAAACTCATGAATCTAGCAAACATATAACAATACATAGCTTCTAGTGGTCATTGTTGCATACTGATTCGATCTAATTCCCAATGTTTTTCAGGGTGGAAAATTAGATAGTATTGAGTACAAGCAGGTATCTTCATTTTCATTCTTGTTCTTTAGTAATGTTCTGTATATCAGCTCAATGACATCTGTAGGGAACATTGGCAGTTAATTTACTTATTTGTATTCTTTTGTTTCTCTCTCTGTGCAGAATATTGCAAATTTGGGTTTAATGTATCTATGTGACTCTTTGGGTGGAGAAAATTACAAGATGCCTGATATTCTGATGCAGGTAAGTACTCTTGTGAAGTTCTACATATGAATGAACAAGCAGATAGTTCCTAGCAATAATCTGCTGGTCTTACCTCTCAACTGTTTTCATCTTGTCCCTTAACTTTTAATGATAACTTTCTCCATGTGGTCTTGCAGGAGAAGCTTCGTCTTTCTGGGAAGTCAAACGCATGTATAGTACTTACAAACGAAGAAACTTCAAGCTCAGAGGTATTGTCTGATATCAATATATAATATCACATACAGCCGCGGATAGAATCAGATGCAGCAAGTAGATTCGTTAAACCTACACCTATCTGATCTTTATCTTGACATGTTTCAGGCTTTGCAAGAAAGCGACAAGATAGAGCTACTTGAAGGCTGATTCAGAATGGTGCCAAACTATCATCAAGGTTTGGTGATATAACAGATGTAGTATAGGATACTGAGAATATAAGTGATTATTATGTATTGGTGTTGAAATTAAATATCCTTTCAGGCAAGAAAGAAGATTGAAAAAACAAAAGAATGTGCTTTTTTCCCCCTTGATTTTTTTCCAAAGAATGAAGCCTAATAATTATCCGTACTGCATTATGCACAATTCGTTACAAACACCATCCACACAACAAATACATTTCTTTTTCCATTTCCATTTTTGTTTGTTTTACTATAACAACAACACGGAAACACACACGAACGCACGAACGAACGAAACAGGGAGCTTTTTTTGTATCAGCAGGACTTGCCCGGTTTGCAACCAAGCGTACCAGCATCCTTGGTGAGTCTTCTTACCTTTGTTCCTGGCTGAGGCCTGATCGCAAACTTTCTTGGGATTGGGTTTTTCGGTGCAGGGCTCCACGCGTTTGACTTTCCTGATTGCACAAAGTAAGCTCCGTTCAAGAAGTAGTCTCTCTCTGATTGCCAGCTCCATGCTTTCCACTCTGTATAAGGTGCGTACTCTCTCTTTGTAACCTGCTTGCAATTTTCTTGAGGAGGAGCAATGAAACGATTCCCTTGGCTTATAATGGTAGGGTTCATGTTTCCACCAATCGCATACATTTCCCAGTGAGTGTAGTCATTGTTCACCACATGGATCATACCGTATCTTGCCCTTGGCATTCTCTGAACCAATCTCTTACCAAAATGGTTAAACGCAACCGTTATCTGCATTTTCTTGTCGATCACATCCTCGTTCTTGCCCCCAAACAGCATCACCTGCAATTCCAATTGTTTTTGCGTTAAGTTTTGCATCAGAATGTGTTTCATATTATGGTTCTGTTTAATGCCTTAAAGCCTTGTTTACCTCGTTATGGTCAGTGAAATGAGAATTGGAGATGGTAATAGCGGTAGATCCCATGATGGCATCGATCATCCCATCAGAACAGTGGGTCATGGAGACATGATCGATCCAAACATTCGTGGCTCCAAATATGCTAATCCCATCACCATCACTCATTGTTCGGAGCCCGAAATGTTGTTCAGAGTCTCTAATCAACCCACCAGCCCCACGTTTGATCTCTTTGATATGAATATTGTGTATGATCACATTATTCACGAACTGTAATGTTAAACCCGCACCTCCGGTTATGTGAACACTCGCTCCTCTACCGTCGATGGTTTTATCGCTGTTTATGATCAGTTCTTGCTGCAGTTTAATGATCATGCTTCTATCGAATATGATCCAGAGCGGCGTGTCGCGTGTCACGGCGTGTCTTAGAGTTCCTGGCTTAGGGTTCATGAGATCGTCGTCCGATGCGTCGGTGATTACGTAGATCGGTCCAGCTTTCCCTCCGGTTGTTTTCCGGCCGAATCCGAGGACGCAGTCCGCTAGCTTTTTCCGGTTCTTGTCCCAGTTTTTGGTTCCACGCCAGCATTTATCGATCGCGTTAAGGGATTCGTACCTTCCGCCACGTCTCTTTGTTTTCCGGGCAACTCCAACTTGTGTGAGCTCTCTCCTTGTTCCGTTTCCAGCACCATTCGTCTCCATTGCTCTGAGGAAGAAAAAAAACTAACTTTAGCTCCAAGTAATGATAAAAACTCGGATCAGTTTCTTTGGCAAATAGTTTTTCACAAGCCCGTCATGTATGAAACATTCGAATGACCAAATGGTCTACAGTACACGGTGGTACGTATATCGAATCTGAGGCTTTAGAGAGTTCATGCGTTTGGCGTTAACTCCAAAACCACCGTGCCACCATGGTGCACGGCTTCAAGAAACCTTAGTTTACTTCTGTAAGAAGTTAGGTTTTAAAGACAAATTGAAAAACCCTAATTAACGAGATTGGTTTTTTCGAGAACCCACAATGCGGCATGGTAGTTCAAGTGGTCCGTGACGTTATACGGGTTAGGATCATAAGATTCCATAGTTTTCTGCAACGCGTCTGTTTGACGCTGCGTCCAGTATTCATCGAAGACCGCGACGTGAGCTTGAACCGATGGAGCCACCACGGCGAGAGACAACGACACGAAGGCCAAAACGTAAGCAACCGCCATTTGAAACCGACGGTGAGAGATTTTATTTTTTATTTTTATTTTATTCCGGTGAAGAACCCTTGTAACTTGGGTCGTCCAAAAAGTTTTCTGGTCGGCCCAGGGTTAGAAATAGATGAGAGGATTCATCGTTTGCTTAAATAACAAGGAACTTGAAAGAGAGAGAGAGAGAGGGGAGAGATGAAAGACATTAATGGAGGATTAACGATTAACAGAGTAATTATTAGGGAACCATTGGTTTTTTTAAAACTCTCTGTTTGTTTTCTTGCAAAAACCAATTATAGTTTGGCTGGTTTTTATTGTTCCTTCTTTGTTTAATCCTTCTTTTGTGGAATATATATATTCAGTTATTTTTGTCTTTAAATCTAATATTACTTTCAAGTGAGCTATTTGTTATCTCTCTCTCTTTAGCTAGGATTTATTATGAAAAGAATTCAATCAAAAAGTTCGTTTTTATATATAAGAAATGTAATACATGAACTCCTCCATTATTTTTTTAATTTAGTAAAATTCAGGATGAATAAACATTTGTTAAAGAAGTACAAATGGACAACTAATGGACGTTAGAAAGCAAATGTTCAAAAAAAAAAAAACTAATGGACGTTAGAATCCGTTGATTTTTTTTAAATCATTAGAAAAATGGGATAATTTGAATATGACTAGATATTTTATGGTTTTATAAGAAATCAAAAAATTAAATGATGCGTGTTCGCAGTTCACAATTGTTACGAAAAAGAAACCCAATCGTGTTCGTAATTTACAATAAAACTTAAATGGGTATATTGTTGTACCCATAGTATTTTCGTTAGCCCTTGGATCTATAAATTTCAGCAACCCAATGGGCCGAATTAAATTATTATTCCAATCCACTATGAGCGATGACACGTGTTGTCATGTGGAGAGGCTAACGTACAATGCTATTTGCCACGTAAGCGAATTTGCCTTGATTTGTTGATACTCAAAACGAAGCCACAGAAATAGATAAGTATGGACAGTCAGATTTTTGTCGTTTTCCTGCCTTTGTTTACGTGGAATCTCGGTTTGTAGGACCACACACACTCTAAAATAAATAAGAGGTGAGTAAAATTGCCAAAATATCCGGCGTGATTTAACATAAATTATTAATTTTTCAATCAAATAAATGATATACTTGTCTTTAATACTTCCTATTTTATTTTTGTCCATGATATACTTTTTGTATGCATACAATAAAAAAAAAATTCACAGTTTTAATTTTAAAATTCAGATAGAAATTTCGCTAAAAAACCGAATTAGAAATAAATATCTTGGAAAATTTGGTTTCTTTTCCGAAATTACGAAGTGTGTGTATCAAGTACACTTATGCCTACCCTACATATAAAACTCGTAGTTATCCAAAATCTTTGTGGATAACTGTTGAAATGATTGTAATAAGTTGTAACCATTTTTTACAAAATTAAAAAATAAAGAGTTGGTAAAACAATTTATCTCTGCTTTTAAAATTAAGACTTGATACAAACGTACAGACAGATACGTCTTAAAAAAGAAGAGAAAACCGTCCTCTTCCATTAGCCACAGAAAACGAAAGAACAAACAAATCAGACAAGAGAGCAAAGAAGAACAAAGAAGAAAGCCTCTTCCAAAGAGATTCAGTGATTGACGCAAAATCTTTCATCCACTTTACTCAATATTCTTTCTTCTTCTTCTTCCTCTTCACTCTATAGTCGCTGTGATTTCCTTTCTTTTCCTCCGTCTTATCTTTGTCCGAATTCTGAATAATCCAAGGGCGTCAAGAGCTGCGATTCTCCATGAATACATCTGGGTTTTCTTGAATTCCGATTTCAATTTTTTTTTTGTAATCTGAGGGTTCGTGTTTTCGGATTCAACTCGAAGAAAAAGTTTTCAGCTTTCGCCTAAAAACCCACATGGGATTGGCACTGAACAGTAGACTGAGAAGAAGAAGAAGAACAGTGATACTAGTCATCGAGTGTTTGCTACGATTATGTCCATAACGGAATCTTCAGAATCGGTTTTCACTACTGAGGAAGAAGAGTCCTTTAGCGCTCGCTACTCGCTATGGATCAAAGAAGCTCTAGACGAGCTCCCTCACAATTTCACAATCACCGACCCGTTTATTCCGGGTCACCCGATCGTTTTCGCTTCCCCTGGGTTCCTGAAAATGTCTGGCTACTCGCGGGAAGAAGTCATCGGAAGAAACGGGAGGGCCTTTCAGGGGCCCAAGACTAATCGGAGATCGGTCATGGAGATCCGCGAGGCGATTCGCGAAGAGAGGCCCGTTCAAGTGAGCATTTTGAATTACCGTAAATCGGGATCGCCGTTTTGGATGTTGTTTCATATGATCCCTGTTTTCGGGAAAAGCGACGGGAAAGTGATCCATTTCGTGGCGGTTCAGGTCCCGATTTCGGGACAAGAACATCATCGGAAGATGAGAAACGGGTCGGGTCTGAGCGGAGATATGTCGGATTATTCCGAAATGATGTTTGGTTCTTGTCGAAGAGAGGTTTGCTTTGGTCATCTCGTACATCAGGATCGAGCTTTGCCTGTGGAATTTGATGAACAAGGTTCGGTTTCTAGTAATGCCTATCACTTGTTTGATGAAATTACTCATAGAGCTTTTAAATCAGTAAAAAAAACTCCTTTCCACAGCTGAATCGTTGCTTAATTGCTTAATTTCGAGCCAGATGCTTTGTTAATGAACGCTCGAGTTTCTAATTCATTGTTATACTGCAGAATTAGAGAATTGGGAACACTGTGAAGCGAGTGAGTCGGAGAAGCTAAGAGCTGCAGAAGCAATTAGCAATGTATTATCTGTTTTAACGCGTTACAGCGAGTTCTCTGGCAGATTGGTCTGTGGAAAACGGTACTGCTTGCGTGGTGCAGACTGCTTAAGCTCGTCCTTAGTGATTTCTCTCGGTAGAATCAAACAAAGTTTCGTATTGTGAGTTTTTTTTTTTTTTTTTTTTTTGGTTCTTGGTTTGATTATGGAGTTGCAAGTCTGCTACTACTAAAGACTTTCTCATGACATTCTTCTTATGGTGACTTTGCAGAACCAATCCATGTTTACCCGACATGCCTATCGTTTATGCGAGTGATGCCTTCTTGACATTGACTGGTTAGTGTTTGTTTTGGTTTTATAAGAACCATTGTTGGGTTTTGGAATAAGCAACATTGGCACAGTTCTTATTTACTTCAGTGTTTGCAGGTTACAAGAGGCAAGAAGTGTTGGGACAGAATTGTAGATTTCTGAGTGGAGTTGATACAGATTCCTCAGTACTATACGAGGTAGTGATTTAGTTTTGAACTTTTTAAATGATAATGCGATGCGACTTTCATGTGATTAAACATTTGTGAATGTTTTTACTTGGTTCAGATGAAGGAGTGCATCTTAGAGGGGCAACCATGCACAGTGCAGATACTAAACTACAGGTTGAAGATTAATTTCTTCAAAACATTTATGCGAGAGAAACATTTGTTTCTTTGATTTGTTTGTCTGATCATTTAATGTTTTATCAGTAACAGAAAAGATAAGAGCACGTTCTGGAATCTTCTTCACATATCACCAGTTCGTAATGCTTCAGGCAAGGTATATATCCTGTAACATAGTCAAAGAAAGACAAAAGACCTCTTTATAGTCTAGTGAACTGATTCCTCTGTGTTTTATATTTGGTTTCAGACAGCATACTTTGTGGGTGTTCAGGTGGAAGCAAGTTGCAGAAATACTGAAAGTAAAGAACTGAGACCAGAGACAAGGCAACTGAGTGTGGTCGGTGCGGTTAGAGTTGCGGTCAGGAGCTCGTTCATGGTGACATGCTAATATACGCCCCAAAAGAAAATGCATTTTAGAAACAAGTAGAAGAGTATGATCAAGTCAATTCGACACACATCTTCACCATATATGTATAGTCACGAAACAGTACACTTTATAAAACATCTAAGCAAACAACGTTATCATTCACAAATCTGTTTCCAAAAACATAATTGAATCAATCCATCATCATCATACCGTTCACGTTTTAGTCTTCCCTATCACATTTCTCTAAGTTAGTCACATATAAAGAAACAGAACACGTTTTCGTCATCTCGCAAAAACATAGGATACGGACAACGGGTGCTGCATCTAGCACAAACCGGTCGAGAAAGGGAATTGTTGTGAAGAACATGCATCTTAACGACCTCACCATTTCTTCTGGATAAGAAAATTGGACCAGGCTTCAAATACGGTTCTATCCCAAGTAGGCAATCAATATGAAGTGTTGTGCAGCAACTGTTGCAATTATAGAATCCTCTGTTCCTTCCAATTGCTAACTTTCCCTCGCACAACTCACACCAATCTGAGTCACTTGCCTCGTCCCCGTGACAAAATGTGAGGTAATGTTCATCGTGCTTATACCTTACCATGTATGGCAAAGTAGCGCACTTGAAACATATAATAAAGTCACATTCAATGCAGTTTAGTACTTTATGATCCCCCGTTGACTTGCAAACATGGCACATTGGCTTCTCTTTCGGATCTAAAGATAGGAACAAAGGGTGTTGATGGCCTTGATATTCAAACGGCTCAGAAACTAAGGCACACCGTACACATACTAGGTATCCCAATGAAATTTCCCATTCGGAACACTCATAGATGAAACCATTACTTGTGCGAGTACACACTCGGCAAGTGAATATACCTTCTTTACGGGTGGTCACTAGTTTAAGTGGATACGGATGCAACGGATGGAGCTTCTTACGTGGAGCATTTGCGCATGTTTCGTGTAGGACGAAGTTACACTCCACACACGCATACAAGTTATCCCCATACATTGGAAGACAACACGCTTGACAAAACTTGCATGCGTCATAAACTCCACGGCTATCAATTTTCAGATGATGGCCATGAGAAAAATGGAGTATGATTCCATCTGATATCTTCTCGAACGGTTCAACATCATCTTCTACTTCTGGTACACCCTCGAGGTCAATACCATCCCATATATCGTTACGCAATGCACATCTTGTGTGAACAGCGTAGCCAACACAGACGTTGCAAGTGTATGCACCATAATCACAGTCAACTTGTCGGCGGCATACTCCACAAGACCAACGTCTTTCTAATGGAAGGGAAGAGATAAAAGAGATACGGTGGTTGTGGCGAGATATTCTTATGGTTTGTGGGATATATACACAATCCCTATGGGCTACGAAATCGCATATAGAACGACATACGTAAGTGAGATGAAGTTTGTTCACCAAACCACAAATATTACAAGTTAAGGAAGCTTGTCTAGGGAAAAGGGTGAGTGTATGGTCATGTCTTTTCGGTTGGTCTATAAAAAGAGGTATTATAGCCTTAGCGCAAAGCACATGCATATAAATATCGCATGGTTCACAATAATAAACAGCATAAGCTGCTCTTTTTCTACAGTAGATGCAATGGTCAGATCTGTTTTTAGAGAAGTAAAGTTGGAGAGAATGTTTGACGTGGGAAGGATAACTTATCTCAAGAGGAGTCTCGACGCATTCTTTGTGGTACCTTTTATCACACTCCACACAGAAATAGTAGTCTGTGCCGATTGTCTGGACTCTGCAAGCATAGCACTCACCTTCTGGACCAGCTTCCTTATTGTTGCACCAAAACAGTGGGAGTATATGATGACCATTGCTTGTGTACTCATCAAAGAGAGGGGGGATTTTGAATTTGGAAAACACTTTACGGCTTTCTTTTTTTCTAAAGTTTTCAGGGTAGTAATCATCTAGATCATTCAGTAATGATCGGGTGCGAAATCTAGGGCAAAAGAAAAGAGGTTGGTCATCGTTGGAACCATGAGTGGCTGCTTTATCAGAGGATCTTTGGCTGCGTGATTGTGGTGGTGGTTTTATAACGTTGAGGTATGAGAGATATGGTTTGCCATCGATTTCCACCTTATGAAATTCTCCCACCATATCCATGGCTTGGGGATTGCTCAGTCCAAAAAAATTTTCCAGGGTTAAGGGATATTGTTTTTTTCTGAGAAACATGGTTAATTATGGGATACTGTTCTTCTCCTTCTTTCTCATTATCCCATATAAAAACATATATATATATATAGACATATACATATATAAACATGAAATCGTTTCCCTTGATCGTTTTAATTTCCCAACTTGCTTAAACTACTCCCATTTGCAATTTGTTTCTCGACGGTAATGATATATGATGATCGTGATTGGTTATATAATATAGTTCCAGTGGCAAATAAACAATGGATTAATATACATATTTTAACGTAGAAAGTCATCATATACAGCTAAGATGAAGTTAGTAAATTCATTACAGCTAAGGTTGGTTGTAGTACTAGTAGTAGTATTAATTTTTACTTCTCAACAGTATTATTTACATGATTTTAAAACGATTAACTAATTACTGATTCGCTAAGCTGGAGTACGACTTTGTTGTACATTTTATATTACATTATTATACTAGCTACTGCCTTTGAGTGACCCGACGTCACCTCAAATACCAATAGATTATCCAAAGAGACTAATTTTTAAATCTTGAGTTCGAATACCGATGACAGGGAAAAAAAAACATTAGTCTTTAAATGTGTTTACAGATTGTCAAACAAAAATGTTGTCAAACAAAAACAGGAAATATAAAGAACTCCTACAAAGGCTACAACAATCTACAACAATGAAAAGTAGAGGATTCAATATTTCTTGAATAGTGAAAAATGGTGCTCTTGCCTGGATTGGATTATTAAGCTGTCATTGTTAGGATTCTAAATCGTTGATGAGATCGATTCTAACATAGAATACAAGGCACATTAAGCAAATCACAAGATTGCTGACTTCAATCCAATCCACAACATTCCCTTGAACATATAATCATAAATTCTCCCTATTCCAAATACATTGGATACATACAACGTCTACCGCAAAAAAAAAAACAAATTGGTCGAGAAGGAGAATTGTTGCGATAAACATACGTATCTTCTCCGAATTGGATAGTAGGAACAGGCTTCATATATGGTTGATCCCAAAGTAAGCAATGAATATGAATCGTGGTGCAGCATTCATTGCATTTATAGAATCCTGCTTTGCCTCCAATTGCTAATTTTCCCTCGCATAACTCACACCAATCTGAGTCGTCACTTGCCTCATCTCCGTGACAAAATGTGAGGTAATGTTCATCATGCTTATACTTTACCATGTATGGTAAAGTAGCACACTTGAAACATATAATAAAGTCACATTCAATGCAGTTTAATACCTTCATATGCTCCGTTGTCTTGCAAACGTGACACATTGGCTTTTCTTTGGGGTCTAAAGCTAGGAATAAAGGATGTTGATGGCCTTGATATTCAAACGGCTCAGAAACTAAGGCACATCTCACATCTAGCTTGTAGTCACAATCCCGTTTGGTACACCGATATAGGAAGCCACTACTCATGCGAATACATAGACTACAACGGAATATTCCTTCTCTAGTGATGACTGTCTCTAGTTTAAGTGTATGAGGATGTAGCGGATGAAGCATCTTACGGGGAGCATTTGCACATGTTTCATGCAAGAAGAAGTAACATTCTTCCATACATACGTAGAAGCTTTCTTCGTAGATTGGGATAGAACACGCTTGACAATACTTGGTTTCGTCATATACTCTGCTGGATTCGAAGCTCAGATAATGGTCATGAGAAAAATGTAGTATAATAATAAACCATACCATTTGCTCCTTGTCTTCAGCGTATGCAATAATGGTCAGAGCTAGTTTGAGAAAAGTAAAGCCTCAAGTGGAGACTCGACACATTCTTTGTGGTACCTTTTATCACACTCGACGCAGAAGTAATAGTCTGTCACGAGTGTTTGGACTCTGCAAGCATGGCACTCACCTTCTGGACTGGCTTCTTTATTGTTGCACCGAAACAGAGGGAGTACATGATGATGATCCTTGCTGTTGTCATCAAAGAGAGGGGAAGTCTCGATCTTGGAAAAGAGTTCACATTTTGGTTCACCGAATTTATAAACAAGTACATAAGTGGGTGTGGCAGTCTGTGAGGCTGATTCCACTCGTACCGTAGGGCACACGAAAAGAGGTTGAAGGAGGTTTTCGCCGGAATCAGTGGCTGTTTTACCGGAAGAGTTTGTGCTGTATATTTGTGGGAGGGGATATTTAACGTTGTAGTATAAAAGATGTGATTTCCCATCGATTTCCACCTTGTGAAATTCTCCGACCAAGTCCATGGCTGCTCTCGTTCGGAGATTGTTTTTTTAGGGTTTGGGATATTGTTTATATTTATATCATGTACAAATTATTACAACTGTTTGTGGACTGTCCTCTAAAATTATTTGTTATAGAACATCATTACTTTTCTTTCATCGATATCTATATTTTAATTAATATATTCATCATAAACTTCACGTACTATGTTTTAAAGGTTGGTTGGTTCTTCTAAAAGACTGCAAAGTATGGTTTATATACGTTTAAAACCATCATAACACCCATTTCGTATAATTTCATAACGCTTTAGATCCTTCAAGCTCAAAATATTCTTTTCCAAACAGTTGAAGAAACAAGAACCAATATTTGAAGAATTCTACTTAGACATCTAAAAATCCCATTCAAGGCAAAGATGGTCTTAAAGTCAAGACAACAACAATTTGATTAATATGTGGTAAAAATCAGTATAGAAACTCGAATAAAAGGGGGCCTCTTTACCAAACGAACGGGCTTTTAAATTAATAACAGCCACATTGACATTATAAAAATGAGAAAATAAATGGAGAAGCGGGGTATCGATCCCCGTACCTCTCGCATGCTAAGCGAGCGCTCTACCATCTGAGCTACATCCCCAATTGTTGACAATGTTCAAATAGATTCCTTCATATAGTGATTATTTTCTCTTACCTTCTCATGTAAAGGACATGACAAAATCATAATCTCATAAATTACATTATTTGTATATCACAGGTAATGAATGTACGAGATGATGAGACTGGGGAAAAGAAGACGACCAAAAATTTGATCGTTAAAAATTATTAACAGTTAAAGAAACAAGAACCAATAGGTGAAGAACTCTTTTTTCAATTCAAGGCAAAGATGGCCTTATAGACTTCCTAATGTATCTGAGAACACTCCACATAAATGTAGATACAAAGAAGAGAGCAATACCAGCCACAATGGCTTCTTTCAGGCCAAGATTCACCAGCAGGTTCACAAGCAGTCCAGCTAGCACAACGCCGCAGAAATTAGACGAAACAGCAGACCAGAACGGCATGTCGAGGATTGACGCGATTATAGCTCCTGTCCAAGCACCGGTTCCAGGGAATGGAACAGCTACAAAGAGCATAAGACCTAACCACTGGAACTCTTCCACAGGTCCAGCTTTCTCTTTAGCTCTTTTGAACAACATTTCGAGTAACTTAGAAGCTGTTTGGCTCTTACCCGCCACGAAAGACGCAAGCTTTTTGAGGTAAAGTATGATGAATGGAACCGGAACCATATTGCTGCAAAAACCAAAAATTCAGTGTCACTTCTTTTTGCTCATATAATGGATCACATGAATATGGATTGAACCATTGCTTGATATGACTCAATCTCATTCAACCTCACAGATTCAACTAAACATTAGAAAGGTGTTCCTCAAACAAGAGAGATTGCAATTGTCACACAAAAGCTCTCAGATTCAAAAAAAAATGAGAACACTTTTGTCAAACTTTGTTAGTTCAAACTTATTATAGATTCAACTAAACAGCAGAAATGTGTAACCTCAAACATAAAAGAACATTTCAGACAAAGGCCAGGCTTAAATTTTACACTTTTATCACCAGAATCACTAATGAGACACTTGCAAACTCTGATCTGAGAATAAACTAACAACCATATCAATATGCATAATGTATCGAAACTGATTCTGTTCAGTGTCTTGGTATTATGCTACGTGTAAAGATTTAAGCGACTAACCCAATAACAGAGAAGAACGTGATAACCGTAGGTTTAAGCTGCATCCAATAACCGACGGGAATAGCGCCACGGAGCTCAATAACCGGAAGTGTGGCTAAAGCAAACACCACAGCCTCGTCTGCCCAACCAAACCGGCGAAGTGCGGCGGCGATTCTGAGACCAAAGCTCGATGATTTGATGGAATCAGCGGCTGCTTTCGCATCGCCAGACCTGGCAAACCAAAGCAAAGAGAAAGAAGCCCAGAACGCAACGCATATCGCGAATTTCAATGGGTTTACGCCGATAGAAGGAAGCTGAATTGTTTCCTTTTCGTCGTCTTTGGCTTTTCCGAGAAACCCATCTGGAGAAGAACAAAACCTCGTGAAATGACGGCGTAATGGGCAGAAAAGACTGTAACTTTCACTATGTAGGAAACTGTTTTGATTCAATCCTGGAGAAATCGAAGATGAATAAACCCTAGTTGGGTTTGAGCTAAGGAGATGGGTTTTTCTGGATGAGGAAGCTAGAGTGAAAGGAGAGACTGAGACTAACGTAGAAATCGACATATTGAATTCAGCTCTGATGCTTTTTCATCTGATCATTGTTGACTCAATATGTGGGATTTTCAGAAGTAGCGAAATGCCTGAAAGGCTAAAATATCGACCGGAACCTTGAGGTTGGGTTTGGTTTTACTCAGACGTGGTTTTAGACCAAGAAGAACCCTTTAATCTCATATGCTCGAGTACAGCCAATAAAATCTAACTGTCCCCTTCTAATAAATAAACAAAAAAAAATCAAAAAAAAAATGAAAAAGAATTTCGGATGATTTGGTAAGAAATTTAATTCAAACTAATCTAAAATTAATTGTTTAAACCAACCAAACTAACTAACAAAATTTTTGCATCTCTCGTCGTTCCCTCGTCGTCTTCTTCCTCTCATGTTTCCACAATTGACAAAATCAGAGGCATGAAATTGAAGGTTAGTTATTGTTGTTTCTTATACTATTTTCGATTTTTTGATTGAATTATCAAGTTTATGTCATAGGCAGAGCAAATAATACATAATTTCTTCTCAATTAGAGAATTTCATAGTAAAAAAAATTTTGATTTTTTTTGCTCATTGGAGCTGCTGAGCTAATTGGGTAAAGCTATTAGAAACTGATATTGTTAATTAAATATGATATCTTGGTTAACTGAGCAATGAATCGTAAAAACTAGTGATGATTCGTATGATGAACCAAACTTTCTGGGTACTACTGGGTACAACTAACACAACTAGACATATTAGTACGAGTAGGATCAACTAAACTTTTTGGGTACAACTAGCATAACTGGACATATTAAGTGAATTTAGTACGACTAGGATTAACCAAACTTTCTAGGTACTACTGGGTACAACTAGCACAACTGGACATATTAAGTGAATTAGTACGACTAGGATGAACCAAAATTTCTGGGTACTACTGGTATAACTAGCATAACTGGACATCTTAAGTACGACTAGTAAAACTGGTACAACTATGATAAGATTATTTTACGATTGTTTTGTTCTTTTCAGGGGAAATGAGTAGCAGTGGTTGCACAGTCATATGTTTTGATTATGGGGGGTTATATTCAAAAGATGGTGATAAAGTTATTTGGAATTCTGTAGAAGATGAGATTCACACTTTAGTGATGAGGAAATCTTTGGAGGATGTCACTTATCTTGGATTAGTGGAGGGAATTTGTAGAAAGGTTTTGATAGATGCAGCTACATCTCAGCTGAAAATTAGTTACTATCCAATGGTCTTGAATACGAAGAAACCATCATATATTTGGAATGACGAAAATGTTTTTGGTTATCTACTACAAATGAGTAAGGATCAATGTAGAAGTGTTCTACATGTGGAGTTCATCAAGGATGTTGATCAAAGTCATGGAAGCGTGCATGTTTCAAGAGAGGATCATGGAGTTGACGTTGATGTAAGTCCAAGTAATGATGAGATGTTTTCTACCGCTAGAGATGGTTTAGAAATACCGGACAGTGAAATGTAAGACAATGAAATGCCAGACAATGAGATACAAGAAAATGATACAAATCCTCTACAAAGATATGAGCTCGTGTATGATGATGATACAAAAGTCAGACATTCTGATGGAAACTCGCAAGTAAGTCATGGATGGGAAGATGGTTTAGATATATATAAAGGTCAAAAATTTGACACTAGGCAGGGACTGCAAGCTCTCCTGCAGAAAGGTGCACATGAGAATGGTTTTGAGTATGAAACGAAAAAGTCTGATCCCACACGTTTCGTGGTAAAATGTTGGGGAGCAAAAGAGGGATGCAAGTGGGGTTTAAGAGCTTCTGTGCGTATAAACTCAAATAATTTCACTATTGTCATTTACAACAAGGTGCACACATGCTCTCGGGTTACTACAACTACAATCAGACAAAAAAGGAAAGGCACACCACACTTAGTTGCAACTGTTTTGGCTGAAGACTATCCAGGTCGATTCGACACACCAGATCCAAAAACGCTGATCAATATGGTTCAAGGCAGGCTTGATGTGAAAGTATCATACTCGACAGCGCTGAGAGGAAAAAACAAAGCTGCTAATGAGGTGCGGGGAAGTTCTGAGGAGAGTTATCTATGGCTATATTCTTATTTGTACATGTTAGAGAAAGTGAATCCGGGTACACGGACTTGTGTGGAATTAGATGAGCAGAAAAGGTTTAAATACCTATTATTTGCATTGGGAGCTTGCATAGAAGGGTTTCTATCGATGAGAAAAGTCATCATTATAGATGGAACCCACCTGAAGAACGTATATGGTGGAGTTCTAATCGTCGCTTCAGCTCAGCAGTCAAAATACTAGTAATGTCCTGAAGTATAACGGAAAAAAAATTAAACCGATTAATTAATTAGTACGATTAGTACGAATATTAGACAAACTACTGTCAAACTACTGTCAAACTAGTACGACTAGTACGAATATTAGACCAACTACTGTCAAACTAGTACGACTAATACGAATACTAGGCCAACTACTGTCAAACTAGGCCAACTACTGTCAAACTAGTACGACTAGTACGAATACTAGACCAACTACTGTCAAACTAGGCCAACTACTGTCAAACTAGTACGACTAGTACGAATACTAGGCCAACTACTGTCAAACTAGGCCAACTACTATCAAACTAGTACGACTAGTACGAATATTAGGCCAACGACTGTCAAACTAGGCCAACTACTGTCAAACTAGTACGATTATAATTGATCCCAATAACAAAAAGTAAAATACTTTTGTATCTCCAAGATGCTCATTTATTGAACCCAGCGAATATCCAGTTGTGCCAGTCTGCGTGAACTCCCATTTGCACATTCTTGGACAATCATCTTCTGCATTCGTTGCTTTCACCCGAAATTGTGTCTTCAGGGTTAGAATACATTCAAACGCCAAAATATGTACATATAATTAAACCAGTTAGACTAGTTGTACTATTCGCACTAGTTGACGTAGTCATACTATTAATACGAAAAATCTACATATTTAATTAAAACAGTCGGACGAGTTGTACTATTCGGACTAATTAAAACAGTAGGAAATACGACTTACTTCCAAAGGGTTGAGGAACCAAGGAAACGTCCAACTCGCTTTCTCTGGGATCGATCCTTTGAAATGGTTCCCCATATGAAAAATCTCTTTGATGTTGTCCTCGAAAGTAAACCATCCCCACGGGAATGTCTTACACAGCTCGAGATTATCAACCATCCTCAGAACGAAAGGCTCTATGGCTACTCCATTCGATCTCCCTCTTATCATCACCGCCAAGAAGTACAAGACAGCCATCTTTAGCCGATTCCCAGTGTTATTATACCTCATCCCCTGAAGTGCTTTTAGCACAACTTCAGCTGTAATTTTTTCGTCTCTAAAATGGTTGTTAGCAAACCTCATGCCACCTAACTTCGGGTAATCGGCTGGGTACTCGTGGCAGTACAGTCCCGAGAGGAGAGCATGCTCTCTGATGGAGTATCTAATGGGCACTCCATTTACCACAAACCAAGCCTGTCTATACTTCTCCGTTTGAACCGTGCGTAGAAGCAACATCCACAGCCCCATCACCTTTCTCGTTGCATAAGTCTTCATGTGAAACAGTTGCTTGAACTGCGGATGGTTCAGAAACCAACTCTTCTCATCCTCTTCCAACATTGGAAATACATCCTCCTTAAATTTGTGTTGCAAGCATTTGGTACTTAGCTTACATCCCTTTCGATATTCGGTGGGATGGAAAAAATATCCGAGAGGCCGCATTGGTTCTTCTACATCATCATCATCATGCTGCAAAAATAAGAAAACCGATTTAGTATACTGCTGTCAAACTAGTACGACTAGTACTGTCAAACTAGTACGACTGGTACGATTACTAGGCCAACTACTGTCAGACTAATACGACTGGTACGATTACTAGGTCAACTACTGTCAAACTAGTACGACTAGTACGATTACAAGGCCAACTACTGTCAAACTAGTACGACTAGTACGATTAGTATGACTACAATCTAGTTATTCTATTCAGACTAGTTAACCGTTCTAGTTGAACTAGTTGAACTACTCACACTACTCGGACTAGTTGGACCCAACTATACTAGTCATTGTAGAACACAATTTAGGGTTTACCAGTGGTGGTGGTTGCGACGACGAACCGATTTCCGGTTCTGATATCGGAGGCGGGCCGGTTACCAGTTGCCTCGTCGGAGCCGCCGCAGCCGGAGGTGGAGGCGGAGCGGACTTTGATTTCTTCCGCGACTTCTTCTCCTTTCCTCGATGCTTCTCCCCCTTTCTTTTCTTCTTTGCCGGTGGATTTTCTTCTTCTCTTTCAGTCACAGGAACCGCCAGAGACGGAGGTGGAGGTGGAGGCGGAGGTGGAGGCGGAGCAGTAGAAGTTCCCTCGTTTGATTTGGATTTCTTCAATGACTTCTTCTTCTTCTGCGGTGCCGCCTGACGCTTCTCCGCCGCTGTTTTCTTCTTCTTCGCCGGCGGATTTGAACTCGACAGTGGCGGCGGTGATGAAATTTGATCCGGCGAAGACGATCTCAACCGAACCCCTCTCTGTAGTGCCATAATCTATAGATTGGAGTAGAGGGATGGTGGTTTTGGACTTGGATTTGATCGGATTGGATGATTTTTGATCGGTGGTGTTTGAGTTATCAGCAGTTGAATCGTCGTGGTGGTTCAGAGAAGATGACGACAAAAGGCAGCAGTTGGATCGAAAAATCAGGAAATGGAAGTTGTTTTTCCTTTGGATTTGGGCCGAATTTAGATTTAGGTATGGGCCGGATCTGCAATTTAAGTTTGAACTCAAACCCAATAGTTATTAGTTGGTCGGCTTGTAATTTAGAGGATTTCGGATACCCTTCTTCGTCATTTCATATATTTTTGTTTAAAATAAAAATAAAAAAGAAAATAAATTTTATAAGAGGGGCATCTGAGATTATATTGGCGTACGGAGGGGCATCTGAGATTACTCTCCGTAATTTTGACTTCAATCGTGAGAAGGGTATTATTGAATAAAATATCCTTTATGGATAAATGTATAAAGTTTCTAAAGTATAGGGTTATTATTGAAAATAAATAAACGAGACGGTGCAAAACGGCGTGCAGTTTTGATTTAAGAATAAGCTTCTTCTTATTTTTGCGTTCTCATAAAAATATCTTTGATACAAAGAACATCGGAGAGGAGAAAGATCAGTGTAGAACTATCGGGAAATTCTCTAATTTGGAATCGAGTTTCAGTTTTGGAGAAAAGATGGAAGGAGGAGATGAAGAAGTGAGTATCAAAGAGCTAGCTTCGAATCTCACTACTTACAAAGAGCAGCTCGAACAGGTTCGAACGATTCTTCTTCCTCTTCCTTTTACAATTTCGTTTGTGGTTCCAATTCCTCGGACTTACAGAATTGGGGATGCTTTAGAATTTGGTAAATAAAAATTGAATGTTGCGATGGCTAAACTTTGAGCTCATAAGGGTACTGTATGATTGTTATCGAGCTAGGGTTCGTAAGGATGCTTATTTAGGGATTCGTTGATTGAACAAGTTTTCGTAAGTTTCATTCGTACCTGCCTGTGATAATTTTCGTCTTTTCTGACTGATGAGGAAGCTTGCTTGTGAAATAGAATGATAATGTTCCTGTGCTTGTTCCTTTTGGGTCTATAGTATCTGATAGCTTCTCATCTGGCATATTTGATAGACTTTAACACTCTTTTGGTCTCAGGTTAGGCAGCTTTTGTCTGAAGACCCTAGAAACTCGGAATATGCAGACATGGAAAAGGAGCTGAAAGAGGTGATCCATTCTTTTGAATGTTACTTTTCATAAAAACTGTGATTTTGTGTTGTCAATGCCATTTTGCTAGTCTCCCGTAGCGTGTGTGAACATCATTGATCTTAATACTCTTAGGTTACTTGAGCATCTAGGTTTTTTGCATATCAGGGCCCCTTTATGTTTTCTATTCCCTACCTCTTTTGAAGGAATCACCATGTTGCTCGAAAATAGCAACATCATACCACAGCTATTGGATACAGCGGACTTGTTTCAGTTATGGGGTTTGAAAGGTGAGTATATATTCGAGTGCCATGTAACTCCGGCAGTGGAGTTTGGGTCAGCCAAAAGCAGTTGTTGGAGTATACATGAAATGAAAGTAGGAGAATTAGCAAGGAATTCATCATTTCTATCTTGGTTTATTGTGCAGGTGTGCTAATATGGGTCATGATGGCCAGCCTGCTTCTATCTCCTGATATTCTCGCGTTCCATCACTGAAGTTCTACTTCTGAAAATCTTAATAGATATACTTTGTGTGAAATTGTTAGAATCCTCAATTCTCTGACACTTTTGTTTTGCACCACGTAGGTGATTGCATTGACGGAGGAGCTCCTTGCAACCGCGAAGCATAATGAGATTTCTCTATCAGATGCTGAAGCAACTGCTGGATCACCGGATTTACTAGAGGCTGCTTGGGGGAAGGTTTACTTCTGTTATCTTATCTCTTCTCCTTGCCGTTTTACGTCTTTGGCTCTTTCCATCTCTCATCTTACCTCAAAATGCTGCTACGTAATTAGTTTAGTCGGTCAAAATTAATTATGTGATATGTAAACCTGGATCCATGTTACTCTAAAGCCCAGTACAAATTTTGGTGACTCCTGGTTGCATTTTTTTCCAGGATTCAAGGAATGACCCAATACATGAGGGTAAGTTCCCCATTGGAACAAAAGTTCAAGCTGTCTATAGTGACGATGGCGAGTGGTATGTTTAAAAACTCCTGGTCTCTTGTAATTCACGATGGATCTACTGTATTAAATACGTCTTCTTCAACATTTTTTTGATTAGTTTTACATGTTCAGGTATGATGCGACCGTCGAGGCACATACTCTAAATGGCTATTTTGTTTCATATGATGAGTGGGGTAACAAGGAAGAGGTAATGCTTCTATTCCCGTTTGTTTCTTCTATTTAAAAAAAAACTAATGTTGAGGTTGCCTTCTTACAATTCAGGTTGATCCAGATAATGTGAGGCCAATAGAGAACAATGCTCTCTTGGAAGCTGAAAGACTAGCTGAAGCTACCAAGAATGCTCTCAAGAGGAAGATTGAGCAATCTGCGAGTTCTGATTTTCAATCCAAAACCCTACCAGCGAAGCTTAAAATCGATCCTAATGATCCCGAGGATGTGGTAAGTCAAAGATGATTGGATTATTCATTTGTTTTCACCCCTATATTGTTTTTGGTTCTGTGAGGTCTCGTGGTTATGAGGTCTCGCTTGTTATACAGAAAATTGCAAAGCGTAAGAAGATACATGCTTTTAAGTCAAAAGCGAGGCAGGAGCAACTCGAGGTTGCACAGAACAAGAAACAGAACGCTTGGCAACAGTTTCAGACAACTAAAGCCAAAACTAAAAAGGTTTAGATTTGGACAATGTCGATTTTGCTTTTTCTCATGCTTCTCTGATTCTGAGACGGGGTTTGGTTGCTTGTTTATGGCAGGTAGGGTTCTTTACAGGGAGGAAGAAAGAGAGTATTTTCAAATCTCCGGAAGATCCATTTGGAAAAGTGGGTGTGACGGGAAGTGGGAAAGGTTTGACAGATTTCCAAAAGAGAGAGAAGCATCTTCATCTTAAGTCTGGTAATGCTGAGGGCACTGATGAATGAGAGAGAGAGAGAGTGTGTTATGTTTCTAAGTATTTTAAGGTACTTTAGTCTTTCTGAAAACATAAAACAGAAAGATTTAAAACTCACAAGCTTTTTTGTGGATCTCTACTCTTGTAAGTTGAATCGAAGATTAGTTATTTCTTTCTTTTCAGTCAAATCGCTTTGTTTCTTTATAGTTGACTATAGTGGAGCCGACCAGTCCAGTGAAATACTACAATGCTAATCCGTTTGGTTTGACGGGCCTGTCACTGTTTACTTTCTCAATTGGGATGTTACCTTGCTTGCCGTTTCTCTCTCGTATGGCAAACTGCGCGACGTCAATGTTAATCGTCTACAGTTGAAAAACTGCGCGTTGTCTAAAGTTGACGTACGGCTGCTGCGACAACCTAAAATGATGGTAACAGCTATGGAACAATAAAGAAAACGACAACAGCATTGGAAGGCAGCTATTAAGTCGCAAAAATGATAGGCGTCATGGATGACATTGATTTTCTGAACAAAGTGATTCCCAGCACAAAGATAAGGAAAGGTAGAGGTTTTTTTTAATCATCCCTACGAACAGGGCTAATTCTAACTAAACATGAACACATTTTGATGTGTTAAAGAAACTTTTCCTGCATGGATAATGTGACAAAATTAGTCTGGAAGTGCTTGCTGTTTTGTCAATTTGGTCACATAAACTGTGCCGTCTCACATAAGTTATCACTCGTTAAGAGGCGAACAGGCTGCTGCTTTTACCCAACTTTTAAAATTGTATGGTAGTATGAATACACAATACAATTATCGAAAAACAAAACAAGGCTAATATTCCTCGATTGTCACCCAAAAAATAAAAACATTTCAAAAGCACAACACAAAAAAGATGGTTTCCCAAAAGAAAAAAAAAAAAAAAAAAGCCTTTTAACTATTGCAATTGCAAAGGTAATAAAAAAGTTGACAGAGAACAGTTAAACAATAAAATTCTTGTTCGCCGATTCATAAAAAAACTATGTTTCTCAAATTTCTTTTCCTGTACTCTCTTGCAATGCAGAGTCATCATGGATCGCTTTTATTGTTCGGTATGTAACAACACAACATACGCAGACTCTCTTACTCGTTGCGGATTGTCTGATACTTCCCCCACAATGGTTCAGACCTCTTCATCTCAGCCATTAAGCTCTTGAACTTGTGGCTATAATCCACTCCGCTGTTGAATTTGACATTAGTTAATAAACATCAGATACTTCGGATTTAACGCCAAGAGAGAAAAACACACATAAATCATCGTAATCTAAAGAACTTGGAGAGTACCTGATGCGATCCAATGATGAGACAGCACGAAGAGCGCTTCTGATCATGTCTTCATTACGGTCATGCTCTTGCTTCACTGCATCTTGCTTTGGCTTGAAGTTTATTGTCTTTTGCAGTGGTTCCACAAGAGAATCCAGCACTGAAACATCATAACAAAGGAATTTTTATAACACATATCAGAAAAAAATCTCTCGTTTTTCTACTTCCCGATTTGAAACAATGATTTTGGAAGCTTAACATACCAGCTAGCACGGCTGAGGGGCATTTATCCGCTAGTAGAGAGAGTATAAGATGACAAAGCATCTTAAGATCATAATGATCTGCATAAACACAGAGAGATTACGTTATTAGATAGTACAGTAAATGGCGTAACTATAAGTTGATTAAGTACAAAAGAGAGAGAGAGAGAGAGAGAGAGAGATAGGTACAGTCACCTTCGAGTCCGGATTTGAGGAAAGGAATAATGAAAGAAGACGGATTCAGTTGATCAAGACAGCTATCGAGCAGAGTAAATACACACTCAAAAGCTGCTTTCCTCAGTTCAAGCCCATCATCAACAACGTGCTTGAATGGCCCTAGATCAACCGTTCTTATTAATTCTTTCTGCAAAACAGATATTGTATGTATCAGTCAATAAAAAATAATACCCCTTCCAAATTATTATGATAAGACTATTTATATCACAACAAGTTACCTTAATAACAGTTTGATCATAAAGAAGCGGTAGCAACTCAGGGAGGAGTCCTTTAATAAGGCTTGGTTTATAGTGAGCAAAGGTACTCAAAGCTGACACAGCTGCACGCCTAACATGCTGCACAAACCAGGGTAACGGAAAAACGAAGGTATGATTACAGTCGCAGCAATATCATTTCTTATCCAATTGCTTATTAATGGTTTTTGTTATCATCGAATGAGGTTATTTTAATTTGACTTACCCTGTCACCATCTTTAATCAGCATGAGGAATGAAGAGATCTCAGGGAAGATAATTTCATCTAACTTCTCAGGCCTCTCCACCACAGAATATTTCACAGCAGTAACAACGGTCGCACGAATGAAAGCAGCTGGACTAGTCGTCCTCACCTATAACAATCAGAATGCAGTACAAATGTTATTCAATGTTAAAGCATGAAAGAAAATGCAACTAGTTAAACTGTTCTGTAGCTGTTTCCTAGGTACCTGAAGTGCAGGAACCAGTTTCGTAGGTTCTATCAGCGCCATTTTTCCCAAGCATTCAGCAACAACGTTCCTCACACCCTCTTCCTCGCTTTCACAGTGGTTAAACAGTAAAGCGAGTATTTTCTTAACACTAGAATTCCGGAAGTCCGCTTTATCAACAGACTGCCTCACGATCACCTGAAAAAACGAGGAACAATATATGAAATCCGGCAGAATATGTAAAATCTGACACTATAATATAGATACTTGTTCAGGAAAACTCACCTCCTTGAGTGAATGAAGAAGAATGTATTGTTTCTTCTGTTGATTATCAATCTGGTCCAAGATAAAAGGTAAATAATTCGACAGATTGCCCACAGCAATGTTTCCAAGAGCATATGAAGCCGCAGACTTTATTTCTTCAAAAGGAGATTGGAAAGACTCAATGACGATTGTTTCGATGCCAGCATGTGCGCTTAGATCTTTCCTTCTCCCAATCTCACCAAGAGACAGCAGGGCAAGATGCTGCTTTGCCTGCACGAGAAAAACCATCATTACAAATATAAACCTTCACATAGCTGTAGATTTACAAAGGAAAATAAGTCTTTGTCTAATCCCTAATTGCTCACACGCTAACATGAAATCAGAAAGCTTACCGAATTTTTTCCGCTCTTATCTTGAAGGATTTCCATAAGCATTTTAACTGTAGACGAACAATTCTTATCACCCGCAGCGAGACAAAGAACCGCGACACACTGTGCAATTGAATACAATGCTTGCTTCGGGACACCTCCAGACTGAGGAGAAGGCTTAGCACAAGAAAGTAATGAGTCCAGCAAGGTGTAGAAACTCGTATTCGCATGATACACCAGAGCTTCAAAGAATCCTTGCAGAGCCTGTGACAAGCATCCAACAAATCATTGCCGTTTAATCTTTCACATAAGGCAAAGTATAAAACAATTCCAACAAAACACAAAATTACCGAAAGTGCTTGACCCTGGAGCAATGGGCTTTTAACTAGAGTTAGTGCCTGCGGAAGAACTTTGTTGCGAACTGCCAAACTGATATTTTCACTACAACTCTTTCCAGTCATCAGAGTGCAGCAGAGTTCAAGTGCAAGAGCTGTCATGTGGAGGTCCGAAACACTGAAAAGACGGAAGAAATTCAAAACCACCAACCTAGAAAGTTTTACAAAAACATCATGGAAAATTCTGGACAAACAGACCTTATCAGAGATGAAAGCTCCACAAGAATAACTTCATAAGCCTCTGAGCCAATTTTATCCCCATAGGCTGTTACCAAGGTGTTCATAGTAATCAGTGTTGCTTGCCTTAGAACCCGGTTAGCCTGTTTTACAAACACATCAATACAAATTGCGTAAGTAACAGATAAAAGTACATATTTGATGCCTATTAAATGTTGTGGTAAAAAGCCATATACCTTCCTTAAGAACCCAGTTAGTTCAGCAATTAAATGGTCCAAGACACATGATAGATCAATGTGCAGCGGAGAAGTAGCAATGACAGAAAATGCCTGCATGCACCCACACAATCACAGACGTCAGCTAAGAAAATAAAAATAGAAGCTTAAACATAAGCAAAATAACAACCTTCACTGCTGTGAGGCGAGTGATTTCATTTCCCATGCGGTCAACAAGCACAGGAAGACATGAAGGTAACTCTGCTCTGAGTTGATCGCCAAATGTTGAAATCACAAGACCCATGCAGGTAATAGCACACTCCTTGACCTCCTGTTGAAGCAAAGAAAGATTAAGAGAAACATAAATAGTACAAATACAAACACAGCAATCTGTTCTGCATATTCCATTTCTGTACTGAATCAGAATGACAAATATAAGTAGTCCAAAATGTAAATTAAACAGATCTATTGCCCAAAAAAGCTCGAAATTTCAGAAACAAAAATAATAAAAAAGGGATTCATGTCACATACCTGGTCCTGATCTTGATTTGTCAAGCGAGACATTATTGCATTATAGATTGGGTGAACAAATGGTTTAAAATCAAAACCCATACCCTAAACCACATATGAAAAAATATCAGTAAATGCAAAAATATGCGGGTTGTCTATGAATAAGAGTATGGTTTGAACAATAACAAATCGCTGCCACTGAATAAACAAAACAGATTTACACCATGACTCGATGTAAAGAGATACTCACCTCAGTACTTGGACGTACTACTCTGACCAGTTCCCCACAAACCCTTAATGCCTCAGCGGTCACCTTGTAATAACGTTCACCAACAGCAGCTAAAACAGGGCTAGAAAGAGCCTACAGTGACATAAAAGTTCAAGAGTCAGTCAAATCAACCCTCATGAGCTGCTAATGTTCATTTACATTCGAAAACTTGGTTTTGAAGTCTATGGACTGTTGAATATTTTGTCACTACTTCAATGGACTGATAATCATAAAATGTTTCCAACCTTAATGTACGGATGAAAAACAGGAGGCGCATGCGATGCCAAGACTAACTTTGTGAAGACAAGAGCTTCGATTTTCAAGTTTGAAGTAGAAGATTTATCCTGGAGGGAGAAAAAAAAGGAAACGTGAGCAAATAAACAAAGAACAACACTGAGAGTATATAAATAAGTATACTGAATATCCCCACTAACATTTAGCGCTCTTTCAATTCCAGGAACTAGTGAACCAATATGATCAGCAAGGCAGTCAGGCAGGACAACCACAAGTTCTCTCAAAACAGAGAACGCTCCAACCTACAGACAGGTAAGGAGTTATAAATATATCAAACAGGAACCAAAACGAAAAGAGAGTTTCACACTTTCATACCTTTGTCTTAACAGACTTTTCACGCAGTTGCCTATTTATGGATTTCACAATCTTCGAGACTTCTTGCTTCAGTAGCCATTTTGGACTGCATCGATCAAAGTTATATATTTAGTTAGCAGGGATTCATCAGTAATGTGACAGAACGTCCATACTAATGGAGTGAAAGGATGCAGAAAAATTTGCCTTGATTCGTCGGTGTCAGTTTGACCTTTCGTCACATTTCCTGTTTGCCGTAACAGATCAATGAATGTGTTGAAAATATCCATCTGTAACAAGTTAACCTCAGATCAGTGACCATAGAGCAATGCAGGGTAGAGCATTTATTTACTTTACATACCTTCACATTTTCCTCCCTCTCCTTAAATCTATCAATTAGTTTCGGGCAAGCCTGCACAAGAAGAGACTTATTTCTAAATTTCTCAACAATGGAGACTAAATTTAAACATTAAAATAATGCCAGAATATCAACGCAAGTAAAAGATGGAAAAAAAATAATATATACCTCTTGATATACTTTAGAGATCATCTCAGAACGAGAAACTATTAACCCTGCTAAGCATTTCGCCGCTGCTCTCCTAACTTTCCAGCTGGCGTCCTCGTCATCCGTGTACTCATTTGCACTCTCGCTGTGAAAAACAAAAACCATGTCTCTGAGATAATGATGTACCGCAAGGGGCTAGGTTACGCTTCCAATGCTTATACAAAACTTACTCATCTTCTTCATCTTCAAGAGTCTCATTATCAGTATCTTCCTCCATGTTGTCCGTAAAATTTGGGTCATAGCTTATATATTCCAAAGTGAGATTTAAAATTTCATCACAAAATGGTGAGATGTCCCTTGGACACCGTAGCAAGAAACTTTCAAGTGCCTGCAGTTAAATTTCAGAACACACATGTTATCGCCTACATTATTTATATCACTTTTATTAAAGCTTAAAGATTAATACCAATTCAATACAACAAGAGTAAAAGAACAGAAACTACAGGCACGCCTTAGTAAATGAACGATTAAAAATTTGGATTAGAAAACAAAAAATGCACGCCTAGTGAGATAGTAGAAAATAGGGAATCTTGCACAATACCTGTAAACTATACTCGCGAAGCTCCTCATCATTTTCTGAGGCGCTGGTGCAGTAATTGATCAATACTGGAACAGTATTACCAAGATGAATCCCAAATCGGTATCCGACAGCACGGCTGAAACAAACAAAAAACGCATTAAATACCATCACATCCATGCAAGCCAATCATAGATACGTAAGGTAAATTATACATCCCACTCAATAAATAGGTAGGACAACTACAACAAACAGAAACATATTACAATACTACAGTAAAAGATGGTAAGAAGTTGAACACAAGAAGAAAGGTAGAAAAGAAGCACCTTAAAGCTCCAATCATTTGAATATTGGTGCGTGTAATCTCCGATTTCGCATTCTTGTTACTTAGATTTTTAACAACTTGAACTGTCGCCTTTGCGAGCAAATCATCAGACACACTCGAAGCAAGAGATGCTGAAACCAGGAACAAAAAAAAAATTAAAAGAAGATAAACCATCGACTTAAGGGTTTTATATAAAACTGGGGTCCCTATTCCTAAAGTTAATACTGGACTTAGGAATGCTGATACTAAAACCCCGTGGGTTTAGAAACTGGTTTCAAATTAGCTAAAAATTGACAGAAATATCCAGCAATCTTATTGACTCAATTTTGTAACTTACCAACGCATGTGACAGTTTTCTTCCTGATTGTGGCTTGGTTAGAGCCCAGTTGCAATAACAATGTGTTCAGTAGCTTCTGGTGATCATCTGCCATCAGACTTCCATATTTTTGCACGACATCACACATGATCTCAAGACATTCACACTTAATCCCTGTGCTTATCCCCTTCAGAAGCAAGCCAGCAGAAAATTAGTTACTTGCAAAACAAGAAGATAGTAACTTACATATCATAGGAAAGACAGATGATTAAACGCGTGTACTGTTCTCAGGTTTACTAAGAGTTATTTAGAAAAGCTGGTATTAAACTGAAACAGCACCAACAAAACTTTAACGTAAAATCAATTCAATTATAGGTATGAATCAATCAATCTAATCAGTAGCCTGATTTTGTCTTTGAATTGTATAATTCTGCTGGCAACCTGAAATTGTCTCAGACCCTAGGCACTGTGGCATATACAATCGAAAAAGGAATAGGCCACCAAGTAACTAACCTGGCCACTTATCCCTCCTATCATTTGTGGAGTCAGAGTAACAAGAATAGATGGAGCAAACGAAGGAGCAACTTGAGCGACAACAGTCCTGAGAGCTATGCTTGCGGTATCACGGTGTTGGTCTTTCCCATGCAGCAGTTTATCACATAACTTGTTGGTCATCTCCACAATACGATCTTCTCCGACCTTCTTCACCAATGGAGCAAGACTGGCAAAACAAAACCATACATCAAGGGTCGAATATAGTCAGCTCGTTTGAATAAAATCTCAAAAACCCAAGAAAACCAAAAAAGGCTGCTGAGAGAGAGAGAAAGCAAACCATTTAACAGCCAATCCAGAAACATCCCCAGCAACATCATCGAGCTGTTGCAGTATGATGCTCGACAATCTCATCTCCAAGTCCGCGTCGAGTTGAAAGGAATCCTTATTCAACTCGTTGAGCAAATCAGAGGTTGCCATGTATCGATAATCTTTATCTTTACCCGTCATCTGATGAACATAATAAAAAAAAACACAGAAATAAGAAAGGTGATTATAATCATCAATCGCAAAAATTGAGCTTAATTCGAAATAGATGATGAAAGAGACCTTTTCAATTATCCCAGACACTTGTAAGTTCGCCATCTTTGCTTGCTTGAGCTTATCAATTCACTCCTCCCAACTGCAATTAAACGAGGATCTCAAATTTTCTTCAACACAGTCGAGAAAAATAAAGTGAAGAAACAGAATCAATCATTCAATTGAAGTAAAACCCTTAAATCAAAAATCATATCAGCAGAGCAATGTCACTCTAGCAAAGCTGTCTACGGAGGTCAAAACGTCTGAAACAAAGTCATAATAACAAAGGAGAAGAACCGAACAGACTAATTCTCTCTCCGGTAACAAAAACCTAATTAATTTTCCTAAGAAAGCTTCTGATTAATCGAAGATCACAAAGAAGAAGCTCGACTCGATAAATCAAAGTACCGTCACACGAAAACCCTAACACTACGAGTACGACTACGAAGACCGAAAGAGTTGATGCCCAACATAATCAGACTTTTCGATGTCGCTCAGAAAAAAAAAAAAAAAGCAAAACCAGCAAAAGAGGAGTAAACCCTAACCTCAGAAGACGAAATCGACGGGAGATAACGCCGGAGACGGGAACAGAATGTCGAGAGGTCCGATGACTGGTGGTGGAGTAGCGCAGAGGAAACTCCAGACGAAAGTAAAAAGATGTGAGAGACGCTGTAACTTTCTTACTCGCCAGATTTTTTTCCCCTTCGCTTTTTATTAACAAGAAAACCGAAAGATTACAGAATGGGCCGGGTCGAATTATTTGGGCCTAGTCGGTTGGATATAAATGGACAAATCATCAAGTTCAGCATCTTTTCAAAATCCTTCCATTTTGTATTAGATTTGTTTCCTTATAAGCAAACAAAAAAAAAACTTTCTTACAATGACTGGATTTGTTTGCTTACAGGGAATGAATCTGAATACAATATGAATGTATTTTGAAAGGATGTTGAATTTAATGACTAATCCATTTATATTCAACCGATGATGTCCAAACAATTCAACACGACATATTTTGTAACTTTTCGGTGGTTTCTTTGTTAATAAAAAAAACAGGGAAAATCTTGTTAGTAAAGAAAATTACAGCATCTTCTGCCAGCATTTTACTTTTTCATGGTGTTTGAAAAACTACATAACTATTCCGTTTTTTTGTGAAAACAATTTCATAAACAAGATAAATTTTGCTTAAATGAGATTTTCATAGAACAGAAATCTAAAATCGAAAAGAAATAATTCATTAACAACTTGATTATGTGAAAACAAAATAAAGGAATAAAAAAGCACAATTTATCATTTAAAACGAAAGAAGATTGATTTATATTTAAAGAATGAAGAAGGAGGAGTTGCACAAATGACAACTCCAAAAATTGTTTGCGTTGATGGCTAAACACCAACATATACATATATATAACGATTCTAAAAGTTGGTGAGAAAAACCCTAATTACGGATGTTATGGGTTTGAATTAGCTCATGACATTCGTGTCATGGGCTTGAATTAGCAAATAGTTTTGTTATGCATTGTTGGGCTTATGTCTTTAAAACTTTTCTATAAATTTAACATTAGATAAAAGTAAGATGTCAAGTTTGAAAATACCCAAATGCCCAATATATATATATATATATAACGATTCTAAAAATTGGTGAGGAAAACCCTAATTACAGATGTTATGGGTTTGAGTTAGCTCATGACATTTGTGTCATGGGTTTGAATTAGCGAATAGTTTTGTTATACGTTGTTGGGTTTGTGTCTTTAAAATTTTTCCATAAATTTAGCATTAGATAAATAAGATGTCAAGTTTAAAAATGCTCAAACAATACATTTTCAAACTTGGCAGGAAATAGAAGAGTTGAAGCAAAATGATTGTGATGTGGCTCTTTTCACTATGGATAACAAACATTAGTGTGAGATATATTCAGGCTATACTTGATGAATGTCGCAAGGCTCACTTATTGACTTGATATTCCTATAACTTTTGATGTATAATATTTTTTTCTAATATGTTTCTCGAGATACGATAATTACTTTAGCCATTGATTTTGGTATGTTTGGGTATGGACTGGCATATCATCTTTGGGTTACAAATCAATTATATATATATATATATGTATATCAAATTGAATTGTGTAGATCCAATAATATCTTTTATAATATAATGAATAGATTAAATAATATCTTTTATATATTACTTTAGATCATTTTCAATATTCAGTGTAGAATAATATTCCATAATATAATGTTCTTAAGTTTGATCTACAGTGGCTCGGATGGAACTTAATCGATTATTGTCATCGAGCTTAATTAGGCAGATAGTGACGATGGTGCTTCTCCGAGAGTTACTTTATTTTTTTTGTCTTGGTCAACAAAATGTTTCTTGGGACACATGCTTGATCAAGTAATTAATATGTGTTAATCCTTTGTGTGAGATTTATGTCTAATTTAGAATAATTTGTTGTAGAATGTAACTTGGGTAAGTAAATTTAAAAATGAAAGAAAAGGAAATGTAATTGAAACGATTATATTTTGAAGAAACAAATTTGAATGATGATATCATATTAAGTTATCTCATTTGACTGAATTGGGTTTCGATTATTACAAGTTTTTGCATAGGAAGATCGATCGTGTGATAAACATCTAAAAATCTTAATCCCTTTTGATGCATGACGTATTTATCCCATGCCACATTAAACGAATTACACAATACGCCAAGAAAGAATTCTCATAATTTTCATTATACGTGTAAGGAGTTGAAAAGAAAAGTAAAAAATTAATAAATGAGTTCACTTGTAAAACCAACCAAGCTTTTACTCAAACGAATACGTCACACATAATAATAGGACTTGACTTGCACTCGCCAGGACAATCTTCAACTCTCCATTAATAGAAATCATAATTTATTGCTTCCTTTGTTTTCCGTGCAATAGATTTTTGATTATGAGATGGTATCATATAGTACAGCCTATTTCTCAAAAATGTGCTCTTTAAAATAAATAAAAATAAAATAAAAAAGTGATGTAAAGTATTCTTGTAGGAAAACATAATATCAAAACAAGACTGACTCAACACTATTCAAAATATTGGACCCAAAATATAAGCAAACTTTATCAACTTTCTTATTGAATTTGTGCGGATGCTTTTCCTCTAAAATGGTCTTTAATAATCCCTATTAAAAAAGGCACAATTATGAAATTCATTGGATTTTTTTTTGGAGTTCTATATAATTTGAAAAGAGTCGTGATTTATATGAGAAAAGTTACCTGATAATTAAAGATTTAGCTAAAATTCTGCTGATAAAAATAAAAATAAAAACATTTTATTATGAGAGAAGTTACATGATAAAATCTAAACTTCTGCTGATTCCTACTCTCACATATGTGTATATATAATATTGTATGGATATATTTATATATGACTAAGTGAGACAAATGATATTGAAGTACAAAGTGTAACTATGATTTGAAATAAATAATAACAGTGAAAAATCCCAATGCATATATAAAATTTATGTTTTGTGAAGCTAACTAAACAATGGTTAAAAACAAAAGAAGGGTTAAAACAATAACCATGGGATGATAATAAGGTACTTAATTAAGTAATCACAAGAGATTATTACAGCAATCTTAACTTAACTAAGGAGTCGCCGAAGCAAGAATTCCTGTAGTGACTTTATTGATGTCTTCATTACCAGCAGAGAGGTCGACATTGTTATTAACGATGCTGCTCTTCTTGGATAGACTGTGTTTGTTGTTATGCATCCAAACTTTAAGAACTCGTCTCCTGACTCCAATCTCTTGACAAAACTGTTGAACAACAGACTCCTCCTGTCGCTGCATCTTCCAACCAACACTCTCCGCAAAACTCAGCATCTTCTCCTTTTGCTCTTGAGTAAACTTTGTCCTAAACCTCTTCTTCTGATTGTTTCCACCGTAAATGTACGGCGGTGGTGGCTGCCGGAATGGTAAGCTTCCTCTGCCGTCTTCCTCCATAAGATCTTCTGACTCCGAGTTGGATCCAGCGGCGGTTGCAACACCAATAGGCATTATCATTTGTTGTGGTAATGGTGATTTGATCATCTTGTGTTGGTGATGGAACATGAGTTTTCTCTGCTGCTGATGATGGTAATTAGGGGAAAAGAAGGTTTTTTCTTCGCCTTCGATTTCTCTTCTGTGGAAGTTTCTATGGCAGTTACAAGCTGAGCAAGTGAGAGCTTCGATGGAACCTTCTTCACCACTTGGCATAAACTCTCCACAACCATCAATAGCATTGCCTCCCATGGAAGCTGCATGATTCTTCAGACATTCCCTATACTTGATCACCACAGGCTTCTCCTTGTTGTTGTTGTTGTTGCTCATCATGATGTTGTAACCCACAAGATGATGAGGAGGAGGATTATCATGATTTTTAACGAGGCCATTAACATTTGAGGGAACTATTAGTGGGTTTGAAGGAATAGGATTTGCAGGATGATGATGACGATGAATCATGTGTCCATGCCCACCACAGCTATTACCATAAGTAGTGTTTACTGGCATAGGCATTTCATGATCTTCTTGATTTGCAACTTCCATTCTTTTGATCTCTCTCTACAGAGGAAACAATCACAAATATTATTAATACAGATTTTCTCTCTTGCAAAGTGTTTCTTGGTTTGGGGACAAAGACACTAGTTAGGAAGAAAAAAAACTAAAGAGTAAAGATAATTAATGAGTAAGATCGAATGATTAAGATATACAAAAAGGCAGGAGCTTTCTTCACTACTCATTAAACCCAATTTAAAATATTTGTTTCCACAAAACAAAAAAAACAAAAAGCCCTAATTTTGGAAGGTCCAAAGAGATTGAGAACAAATCGAAAAAATACAAAAGAAAATAAAAACTTTATTGCAAGCCTGCTCAAGCAAAAGCTGACAAACCCACTTGGACAAAAAAAGTCTTACTTCAAGTGAGGGGTTGGTGATAAATTGATAATCAAGAACACATTCTGTATCATAAAACAAAAATGGTTTCTTCAATATCTAATTACGATTTGAGATACAGAGACAAAGAACACATACCCTCACAACCAGCAAAAGCAGCGCAACTTTCT